GCCTCTTGAAGGCCCTCTTAGGGCCCTCTTCGGCCATCTTCAAGCCATCTCGGGCCCTCTGGGGCCTCGCTGAGGCTATCTTGTGGGCCTCTTGGGCGTCCTCGGAACCCGGAAATCATGTTCCCGGAAAGGCTTCCGGGCACATGATTTCGAACGAGGCCCTCTTGGGCCTCCCTGAGGCCGTCTTGGGGGCCTCCTGGGCCGGCTTTGGGGCCTTTTTGGGCCGTCTCGGGGGGTTCCGTGAACCCTACAGGACGACCTTTTTGGGCCGTCTTGGGCCCTCTTGGGTCTCACTTGGGCTGTGTTAGGGCTCCGCGGGGACGTCTGGGGCACTGCGAAGACGAAGCCAGCGAGGATGCTGAAAATGCACGTTTTACTCAGGGAATGGGCAGATTGTTGCCTCTTGAAGGCCCTCTTGGGGCCCTCGTCGGCCATCTTCAAGCCATCTCGGGCCCTGTTGGGGGCGCTCTTGGGCGTCTTCGGGGCCTCTTGAGGCTTCTGTACGGCCCGCGTAGCCTGTCGTGGGAAATTTGGAAGCGGCCCGGGGCAGTCCCCGGGGGTCTGTGACCCCGCAAAGGTTCCAGGGGACGCCCATGGGGGATGACGGCACCGGCCGGGCGCCCCCGCCTCGCCTACTCCGAGATACATATCTATGTATATACATATATATATATATATATATATACAGACATACATACGTACGTACGTACATACATATACACACATATATACATGTATATATATATATGTATTACTGTATACCTATACCTATACGACCACCCTGCGGGCGATAAGGAGGTTTGGGGGGGATTGAGATCAAATGCCCAGCCTGACTGACCTCCAGCCTGTCACCTCCAGCATGTCACCCTGACTGACCTCCAGCATGGGATAATATAAGATGGGACAAGATGGGTTGGATCACATACAATGGATTGGATTGGACAAGACGGATTCGATAAGATAAGCTGGATTGGATACGAAAGCCCGACGCAGGCGCCGACAAAAAAGAATTGATGGATTTGGTTGGGTGGATTGGATTGGATGGATTGGAAGAAGTGGATTGAATAAGATGGATAAGATGGATTGGGATGGATGGAAGAAATGGATTGGGTTGGATGGATAAGATGGATTGGACAAGATAAGGTGGGTTGGATTGGAAGACGTGGATTGGATAAGATAAGATGGATTGGATTGGCCCGCCGAAGGCGCAGAAACAAATGAATTGACGGATTGGGTTGGGTGGACTGGATTGGGTGGGATAAGATAAGATGGGATAAAATGGGTTGGATAAGATATGATGGATTGGATCGGATAAGATGGATTGGATAAGATAAGCTGGATTGGATAAAAAAGCCCGCCGCAAGCGACAAAAAAATGAATCATGAAATTAGCGACATGCGTTAGCGCCGGGACGCCGGGGACACCGGGGACACCGCCCGGCCCAACTCGGACACCTCCCGGCCACCGGCGGACGTGAAACGGGCTTTCGCTTCTACTGACACCCTCCCGGGACACCCGGGACACCGCCCGGCCCAACTGGGACACCTCTCAGCCACCGGCGGACGGGAACGGACTTTCGCTCCTACTTTGGCCTAGCTACAGGAAGATCACGCGCAGCTTCGCCTCGCCCGCACTCACGACACGAACACGAAACCGAAACCGATTTCCCGGTGGGGTGTCTCCGTTTCACTGCGATCTCACCCCCCAACCTCCAGTATACATATATATATATATATATATATATGTTTATATGTATATATATATATATCGACATATATGCATAGATGTATGTATGTATGCATGCATGCATGCATGCATGTATGTATGTATGTACATACACACATTTACATATATGCACATATGTATACACACTATAAAAAAGTAGCCGTGCGGGAAAACAAACATCTGAAGTTGTGGGCACCGTCGTTGTATGCACCGCATTTGGTGGAACACACGATTGGGCTACCAAGCGTGTGACGGGTGTGCCAAAATGGGTGCGGTGGGTGCATGCCCAAGCTGGCAGGTGGCCTTTCAGTGGGGTTCCTTATGGGACCACGAAACGTGCGAGAGGCGTGCCTAAATGGGTGCGGTGGGCGCATGCGGACGCTGGCATTTGGGCTTTCAGTAAGGTTGTTCCCTGTGGGGTCACGAAACGTGCGAATGGTGTGCCAAAATGGTTGCGGTGGGCGCATGCGGACGCTGGCATTTGAGCCTTCGCTGGGGCTCTCTGTGTGGTCACGAAACATGTGGAAGGCGTGCCAAAATGGGTGCGGCGGGTGCATGCGAACGCAGGCAGTTGGGCCTTCGCTGGGATTCCCAATGAAGCCACCAAACGTCCGAAGGGTATGCCAAAATGAGTGCGGCTTGCGCATGCGAGCGCTGGCATGTTAGCCTTCCGGTGGGGCTCCCGCTAGGGCCACGAAATATATGAAGGGCGTGGCAAAAGAAGCGTGGCGGGCGCATGCGAACGCTGACACTTGGGCCTTCGGTGGGGCTGCCTATGGGGCCCCGAAACGTGTGAGGGGTGTGCCAAAATGGGTGCGATGCGTGCACGCGAGCGATAGCATTTGGGCCTTCGCTGGGGCTCCGTGTGGGGCCACGAAACGTGTGAGGGGCGTGCCAAAATACATGCCGAGGGCGCATGCGGACGCTGGCATATGGGCCTCCGGTGGGGCTCCCTCTGGGAAGCGTGTGAGGGACATGCCAAACTGGGTGCGGTGGGCGCGTGCGAACGTTGGCATGTGAGTGTTCGGTCAGGCTCCCTGTGGGGCCACGAAACGTCTGAATGGTGTGCCAAAATTGGTGCGGTGGGAGCATGCCGACGCTGGCATGTGGGCCTTCGGGGCTCCGTATGGGGCCACGAAAGGTGTGAGGGGCGTGCCAAAATAAATGCCTTGGGCGCATGCGGACGCTGGCAGATGGGCCTTCGGTGGTGCTCCCTCTGGGGCCACGAAGCGTGTGAGGGACGTGCCAAACTGGGTACGGTGGGCGCGTGCGAACGCTGGCATGTGAGTGTTCGGTCAGGCTCCCTGTGGGGCCACGAAACGTCTGAAAGGTGTGCCAAAATTGGTGCGGTGGGCGCATGCGAACGCTGGCATTTTAGCCCTTCGTTGGGGTTCCCTGTGAGGCCACGAAACGAGTGAGGGGTATGCCAAAATGTGTGCGGTTTGCGCATGCGAGCGCTGACACTTGGGCCTTCGGTGGGGCTGCCTATGAGGCCCCGAAACGTGTGAAGGGTGTGCCAAAATGGGTGCGATGCGTGCATGCGAGCGCTGACATTTGGGCCTTCGTTGGGGCTCCGTATGGGGCCACGAAACGAGCGGTGTGCCAAAATACATGCCGAGGGCGCATGCGGACGCTGGCATATGGGCCTTCGGTGGGGCTCCCTATGGGGCCAAGGAACGGGTGAGGGGTGTGCCAAATGGGTGCGGTGAGCGCATGCGATCGGTGGGGCTCCCTAGTGGGACACGAAACGTGTGAGAGGTGTGCCAAAATGGTTGGCTGGTTCGGAGGGCAGAGGCAAAGATCGGAAGAGGAAGGGGACGGAGGGGGCAGCCGGAGGAGGAACGCGGGGCGCTGTCTCTTCAAAACGAAACCCAAAACCGCAGGAACGTTGGGAATGAAATGCGGGACCCATCGGCCGGGGGCTCCTGCCTGAGACTTCCTGTCAATTCACTCACAGACGAAGCTCCCGCCCGAGACTTCCTCCATTTCAATCCAGAGCAGCCGAAACATGACGACAGATACAGGGTTCCGAGGACCCGCTCGGGATAAAGAATATGAGGTGGGATTCATAACGAAGGGGCTCCCGCGTGAGACTTCCTCACACGTAACTTTCAGACGAGGCTCCTTCGCTGTCGATGATCACGATGGAATGGTGATAGTGATGAAATGTGTGATGATAGTGGTGGTGATGGTGAGTGATGGTGAGTGGTGATTGATGAATGATGAAGGTGAATAGTGATGATGTGGAAAAGCGTATGTGTGTGAGTGCGCTCATGGTTATGAATGAGGCTGTGTGTGCTGATGATCATGATGATGGTGCTGATGGTGAAAGGTGTGATAACGATTGTGATGGTGATGAGGTGGAAGAGAAGGGGGAGGGTGGGAGGGCATCCTGCGTGGAGTGTGCAGAGAAAACAAGAGCCCCACTTAGGGTGTCAAGGGGGAAACAAATTTCTTAGAACGGAAACCTAATTTCGTGCAAACCACAACAGGTTATCCGGACACTCCTGCCTGGGCCTATAGACCTCCCAGATGGGGTCCGAGTGGATGGTTTTGGAGGACCGCGCCGCATCGGGCTCGGAGGATCGCGCCGCATCGGCGATGCATCGACGATGCATCGTCGACGTAGGCGATGCATCGGCGACGTCGACATAGAAAACTCGGGCTCCGCATCAAGCCGTATCGCTGATTCATTGACGATGCGGCGCGGTCCTCCGACCCCATCCGCTCGAACCCGATTTGGGAGGCTTGGACTATAGGCAAGTTAGGTCGCCTCGCCGCTGCTTGAGGGATGGGCCGTGCACCTATCCCGTGCCCAGGGGTGCCCCTCGGCCAGCGTCTGTGCCTGGTGGGCAGGTGGCAGCCCCCCCCCAGGCCTCGTGTAGGCAAACGTGGACCATCTGCAGGAGACGATGTCCGCCACCGCGCTTGCAGCGGTTGGTGTGCATCGGACCTCTTCGTCTCATGCGAAGCAGCAGTGGCCCCTCCTCCCGCGACCCTTTTGTGACCCGGTCCCTGCGCGTTGTTGCCTTACGGGCAGAAAATGGCGAAGACAGAGCTGGGGAAGGGGGCGTCCGTGGCCCATCCCCTCCCCAAGCCCCCCCTCCCCGCCCTAGCGCGGTGGCGCGGAATCGCGCGGCAGCGCAAGTGGATTGGCCATCCTGACAGCTCCTCCCCCCAGGTTCAAGGCCTCTGGCACCCAAAGGAAGTGCCTCCAGACAAAGAGGATGTTGGAGGGCCAAAAGAGAACGGTGCCTGCCCCAATGTGCCATCCTCTAACCCTTCCCTTCCGACATGTCTGCCTCCTTCTCGTCCTCTCCTCCCTGTCCCTCTCTGCTGGGAGAATGAGGTTGGCCACCCCGCTCTTTGGGCTCTCCAGACGTCAGAGCCGTGCAAATCTCCAATCCCTGTCAGGTTGTCGATGATACCCAGCGGGAAGCTGAAGACGTACAGCCAGACTGGCACCCCGTGCTTGCTCCACTCTGAGGCCAAGGAACGCACAGGGCACTGGAAGGAACAGTCGCGGATGATCCTCGTGAACATGCGGGAAAAGTCGACCCTCGTTCCCGATACGAACTCATACTGGGGGTATGCGGACAGGATCTTGGGAACATCGTCTGCGTCGAAGCTCCTTGGGATCCGAACGCAGGGTAGCTCAAACATAATCAAATATGATTCGGGCGAAGGCCCCACCCAAATCCCAACAGCCCTCTGGGCGTAGGTGGTCCAACGATGTTCCGTCCTTCCTCTTCCAAAAGCCCCTCTTCCCCTTCGGGGAGGGGTTTACCCCTCCCTCTACCCCCTCCCCTGGACCTGGACGGGGCGCCCCGCGAGGTGGCAGAGTCCTTGTTCGCTCAAGATGGCTCAAAGAGGGCCTCCGATGCACCAAGATGTCCTCCAAGATGGCTCAAGATAGGGCAACATGGCTCAGGATAACAACAACATGCCTCCAAGAGGCCCCACGAGGGCCACAAGACGGTTCCAAGTGCTCTCGGAGACCTCTCAAGGCCCCCTCAAAAACCCAACATCAGTCAAAAACCTACGGAAAACAAATGATGGTTGCCTTCTCGCCGATTCGCTTGCGACGCGCTTGTGAGGCCTCAAGTCGGCCCCAAGATTGCCCAAGACGGCCCCAAGGGGGCCCCAAAGACGGTCCCAAGAGCGCCCAAGAGCGCTCCAAGTCCCAACAGCGCCCCAAGAGACGGTTTTGAGGGCCCCAAGGGGGGGGGACCAACAGAAAGGAACCCCCATGTGTGGATCGATGACCTCCAAGATGGGCCCAAGAGGCTCTCCAGAGCTCCCAAGAGGGCCCCAAGAGAGCCCCAAGAGGGTCCAAGAAGCGCGCCGCGGGGCGCCAAGACGCCCCAAAGGAGCCCCAAGAGGACCCCGCAACCCCTCAAAGAACTGAAGAGAGCCCCAAGATGCCCCACAGCACCCCCCCAAGGACCCCAGGACCCCCCAAAAAGCTATTCCTCCTCCTCCTCCTCATCCTTCTCGTCCTCCTCCTCCTCCTTCTCGTCCTCCTCCTGCTCCTCCTCCTCCTCCTCCTCCTCCTCCTCCTCCTCCTCCTCCTCCTCCTCTTCGTCATCTTCATCCCGTCGCCCCCACTGGGGCTCCAGAAAGCCCGAAGGGACCCTCTAGTCCTACCGCCTTGTTCCAAGAGGTCTCTCAGTCCCACCAGCCCTCTGGGCGTAGGTGGTCTGACGATCTTATTTCTTCCAACTTTCAACAAGAACCATCTTCCCTTTCGGGGAGGGGTTTACCCCTCCTCCTACCCCCTCCCCTGGACTTTTTGGGAGGGGTTCGCGGGTCGTTGGAGGCCCTTTTTCTGCCAATGTGTGACACCCCTCACGAGGATCGTGGCTCCCGAGGGGGGCACCTCGATCGGGAGCTTCCCTTCTTTGATCGATAGCCTCGAAGATGGCCCCAAGAGGCGCTCCAGGGCTCCAAAGGGAGCCCCAAGAGAGCCCCCAGAGGGCTCCCAGAGGGTCCCAAGAGGGCCCTAAGAGGCACCCGAGAGGCTCCCAAGAGGCCCCCGAGCGGCCTCAGAGAGCCCAGGATGACCTCCAAGATGGCTCGGATAGCCCAAGCTGGCTCAAGATGGCTCCCAAGATGCTCCAAACGGCCCCAAGACCGCTCCAAGAGCGCCCAAGAGCGCTCCAAGAAAGCCCAAAGAAGCGGGTTGCCGGCTCCTGAGGGGGGAACTGAGTTGGGCCCCCCCATCATGTAAGCGATGGCCTCCAATATGATCCCAAGAAGCCTTCCAGGGTTACCCAGAGGGTTCCAAGAGGGCCCCCCAAACTCCCAGATAGCACCACCAGCAGCAGCGACCTAGTCCTCGTCCTCCTCGTCCTCATCTGTGTCCTAGTCCTCCTATTCCTCCTCGTCCTCATCCTCCTCCTGCTCCTCCTTCTCCTCTTCCCCTCGCCCCCACTCGGCCCCCCGGGATGGCCCGAAGAGGCCTTCCATGACCACCCCCTTGCTCCCAGAGATCTCTCGGTTCACCCTGGTTGCTCGCTGTGTTTCCCTAGATGTGTCTCGTCGTCCCTTTTCCCGTCAGCTCTCATGGGTCGGGCTTCTGAATGGGCTGGTGATGATAGGAAAAGCGTAAAGAATGCAAGTTGGAGTACTGCACAAGCTCACTGAGGGGCAAGACGCGTGTGAGGAGTGTGCCGAGAAGGACATGTGGTGGGCGGGGAGCCGCATGTAGAACTTGCCACCGGGCGGGGGACGCATGCGATCCCTGCCACTGGAGCTCTCTCTGGGGCTACGAAGCATGAGAGAGGTGAGCCGAAATGGGCGAGGGGACGCATGCGAACCCTGCCGCAAGAACCTTCGGTGGATCCCCCTGTTGGGCCACGGAGCGTGAGGGGTGTGCCGACACTGGCGGCGAGACGCATGCGAACCCTGCCACATGAGCCTCCGGTGGAGATCCCTGTGGAGCCATGAAGCGTCAGGGGTGTGCCGAAGTTGTCGGGGGGGACGCATGCGAATCCTTGCACAAGAGCCTTCTGTGAAGCCCCCCGCGGGGCCAAGGGGTGAACCGAAATGGGCAGGGACGCACGCGAACCCCAACGCAGGAGCCCCAGTGGAGCTCCGCATGGGCTTCCGAAGAGTGTGAGGGATGCGTCGAAATGGATGTGCATGCGGAGGGCAGAGGCAGGAGGAGGCAGGGGGCGGGAGTGAGTGAGTGAGGTGAGATGCGGGGTGCTGTCTCTTTAAAACGAGGACCCAACACCGCAGGAAGGCTGGGAACAACTGCTTTCGAACAGGGCGTCTGTTGATGAGCCCCGATGTCCAATTCAACGCAGTGAGCAGCTCGTCCATGCTCTGGATCCGCATGTGGTCCATCCCAGGCACGATCCCCGTCAATATCGGCTCGAATATGGTTCCCCCGTCCTTGGGAGCGTGCCAGGAAAGGTCGCTACATCATCCCCGTCCCCAATCCAGAGCCCAGCGCGAGGCTCGCCATTTCTGTCCGCCAGCGTGCCCAGAAACATAGCGCGTGGTCGAAGTCACGACAGCAGTCCACTGCAGAAGACGTTGCGCTTTGCACAGGCAGCCTTGCCCTACTTCTCCCAACGTAGACAAGTATCCCATTTACCGTTGCCTTATGGACAGTCCTGGTGGCCCCAAAGGGGAGCGCCACATTTGTGGCGCTCCCCTTGGCGCCGCGAACTGAAGACATTCGGCGGGAAAGATGTGGGTCATTGTCAGAATGTTGCTGTCTCGCCATGGCCGCGAAATCCGTCCGAGATATTGCCCTCAAATGCGCGGACGGGAAATGGCCTCACATGCACGAACGGGGAACGCCGCGCACACTCGTCGGACAAGTCTGTAATATACTCACGGAAAGGCTGGTGGGATCCCCACGTCGGTGTCATTGTTCGAGAGATTCTAACGAACAACTCCTCACAAACAAGCGCAGCAAGCGGTTTCATGTTCAAACGCATGTTCCCGTCTGGTTACCCCTTCCACGTCTTAGACCCAAACCCGACATCTCATTGGATACAGGGATGCATGGCGGGGTCGGTGTCCCGCCGGTGTCCCGTCGGTGTCCCAATGATGATGATGAACATGTCGATGATGCTGATGATGATGGTGATGGTGGTGATGATGATGGTGTCCCTATGCTGATGATGTTGACGATGTTGATGATGATGATGATGATGGTGATGATGGTGTCCCGATGGTGATGATGATGTTGCTGATGGGGATGTTGCTGATGATGATGATGCTGGTGGTGTTCCGATGATGATGATGTCGATGATCATGGTGATGTTGGTGATGATGAGATGACGATGAGATGATGATGAAGATGATGATGGTGCCCCGATGATGATGATGATGATGATGATGATGATGATGATGATGATGATGAGGTTGGTGATGATGCTGTTGATGATGATGGTGATGATGATGATGATGGTGTCCCGATGATGATGTTGATGATGATGACGATGATGGTGTCCCAAGCATGATGATGATGTTGATGATGCGGATGATGGTGAGGTGGTGATGCTGATTTTGATGATGGTGGCCCGATGATGGTGGTGATGAGGATGTTGATGTTGATGATAATGATGGTGTCCCGATGATGATGATGATAATCATGATGATGATGATGATGGTGATGATGATGATGATGGTGACGATGATGACGGTGTCCCTATGGTGATGATGTTGATGATGATGTTCCTGATGATGGTGGTGTTCAGATGATGATGATGGTGTCCCGGTAAGGATGATGATGATGTTGATGTTGATGATGATGATGATGCTGATGCTGATGATGATGGTGACGATGATGGTGTCCCGATGATGATGATGATGATGATGATGATGATAATGATGATGATGATGATGGTGATGATGGTGATGGTGATGATGACGGTGATGAGGTGATGATGATGGTGTCCCGATGAGGGTGAGGATGTTGATGAAGTTGATGACGATGATGCTGATGGTGATGATGATGATGATGATGACGTTGATTGTGAGACGATTGTGATATCGATAGTGAGATTGATAGTGAGACCGAATGTGAGATCGATTGTGAGATCGATAGTGAGGTCGATAGTGAGATCGATTGTGAGATCGATAGTCAGATCGATTGTGAGATCGATCGAATCAAATGGATCGAGTGAGATCGATTGTGAGATCGATCAAGTGAGATCGATCGAGCGAGACCGATAGTGAGATCGATAGTGAGATCGATGGTGAGACCGATCGAGTGAGACGTTGGTTCCTCCTCCCCCCCCGAACCTCCTTATCACCCGAAGGGTGGTCGTATACGTACCAAGACAGTCCTGGACGGAGTATATCTAGGAGGCCTGGTGTCTTGCGACGGGAAGGCTGCAACCGAATTGTCCAGAAGGCTGGGAAAGGCAAGCCGGACATTCAAGCAATTGGACACAATATGGGCAACATCGTCTCTCGGGGTGAAGCGGAAATACAAGATCTTCGACAGCGTCGTCTTGAGCAAACTGCTGTACTCATTGGACTCTCTTTGGATGTTTAAGGTTGATCGTGATCGTCTGGACGCATGTCATTGTAGGTGTTTGCGCCGAGCGTTGGGCATCCCATCATCGTACCTATCCCTAGTGCGCAACGATACTTCTTATAAACAAATTCAACGAAACCGCTGTCGCAAACATTGCTCGGCAGACACAAACATTTGCACCATAAAATTGCCAACTACGATTCTAATCGATGTGTGAAGCTTGTGCTTTTCAGCGCAGACGGAACGCCTAGAACGTGGGCCGTCCGCCGCAAGAGAGGACGTCCGCGCCAACAATAGGCATCCGAAGTGCGTCAGCTTTCGTCTTTCGCGCCCCTCCCTTCCCCCGTCATCCTTCGCCCCCCTCCTCCCCTCCCCTCCAACCCTTTTCGCTGGCCAGTACAAGCGAACGTGGATCTGTATCAGGCTTCACACGCTTGACGAGCGTGCCGACGTGCACACATCGTCTTGCCTATGCGCCTGCCGGGGTGCACGGCCTGTGACTGACTGACTGCAGCGAGCTTTTCTCAGATCCTCGCAAAGAGCCGACGTCGCGTCAACGTGTTTACTTCCTTTTGACCCTCCGCCCTGGCGGGGCCCTTGGCGGAGCGCCGCGCGAACGCCAGGCGACGCGGGCCTGTCGCCCAGGTCAAGCCCGACGACGCTCGCGGAGCGTGTTTCGGTGGAATTCCTGGTGGGGCCACGGAGCGTGTGAGGGGTGTGCCAGGATAGGCATGCGGTGGGCGGGGGGCCGCATGTGGTCGCACCTACTGGGGCCTTGGGTCGAATTATCTGTGGGGCAACGGAACGGATGCGCAGAAGTGGGCATGCGGTGGGCGGGGTGCCGCATGTGGCCGCACGCGCTGGGGACTTCGGTGCTCCCAATGGGACCACGATACATGCGAGGGGAATGCGTATATTGACATGCGGTCGGCGGGGGGCCGCGAAAGGCCGCGCGCGCTGGGTTTTTTGATGGAATTCCCTATGGGGCCACGAAGCATGAACCGGGTGCCGAGCTGGTGGGCGCGCGGTGGGCAAACGCCAGGATGGGAGGCGGGAGGAAGGCAAAGGGAAGAGAAGACGCGGGGCGCTGTTCACTCACAACGATGGCCCAACACCACAGGATGAATAGCACAAGCACGGCGAACAGTTCCCAGCAGCTTTCGGTGTCCGGGGGCTTTCGACTCGACAGCGCCGCACGAATTGCCCGATCCAAATGTACGAGCATCATGTGATTGCTACGCCGTCAATTTTGTGGTAAAGTTGCTGCGCACACAATTTAGCGCAGGTGGGATGGGCAGGATTGAAACAGCGTTCCCCCGCCTCAGCAGCAAGTGCCAGAGAGGTTGCGCAGTTGCTTGTGCTAACAAATCACTGGGAAGTGTGCGCCGGCGTTGAGTCTGGGGGCAAACCACGGGATAAACATCTGCCCCCCAAGCCACCGGAAAACAAACGGAAACAACAAAACACATTGATATTCGCCGACCGAAGAAAAACAGCCAAATGCACTGGTTAGTGCAGTCTCAATGACCGTCGCCTTCGGTGAATCTCCTTATGGGGCCACGAAGCGCGCGGAGGGCGCGCCCCAATGTGGCGAGGCCGCCGGTGGGGGTTTCGAGCATCGCGAAGCAAATCGGGCGAGGGGGGACGGGGGAGCCAGCCCCGCTACGACGCGGATGAGCCGGGGGGGGCTGACGCGAGCGAGCGGGGGGCCTTCTTGGTTCGGCCAAGAACTCTGTGCGCCGCCGTTTCGCGCCCACTTCCCCCCAAGTGTTTCTCCACATCCCTCGCTTCCGTCGCGCCTTGCCCTTGCCCGCCTGTCCCGCGGCGGCCCGGGCCCCTGACGCCGCCGCTTCGCGTCCGCGACCTTCTTCCATCTTCTTCGCGTTTCTTTCCTCGCGCCCTGACGTCCGCGGCTCGCGGCAAAGCGCAGCCCGGCATTCCCGCGACGCGCGCGGGTCGCCCGCGGCGAGAGCACAAATGAACGCACGGCTGACACTGGGCAGGGCGCCGGGCAGAGCGCGCGGGGGTCGGGCCGCCCCTGGAAACTGGGCGCAAGGAGGCCGACGCGCGCCGGGCGGCCCGAGAGGATTTCAGCGAAGCGCGGAGCGCCAGGCCGAACACTTCGACAGAGGACAGAGGGCGAGGCTCGGGCGGGCTGATCTTCAGGGCGCTCCTCGCAAACGAACTTAGTGAATCCCAGATCCTTGGCGAGGGCAATCGCTTCTCTCCTGCGCCGTTCCGCGCGTGTCGCAAACTGCTCCAGCTGTTTCCGCAAGCCCTCTGGCGACCCTGCCCGAAAGACCTGGATGCGCGGCGCCCGCATGAGCAGGAAGTCTCGTGACGCGTGGCGCGCGGGAGCAGCGCGCAGGGCTTAAGCCGCCAGTCGTCGTCCTCCTCCTCTTTGCCGTTCCCGACCTCGTGGCGGCTGCAGTCCAGGATCATGCCTGGGCGACGTCGGCAGAAAAACCAGCGCACCGAACAGCCGACCGCCCAGGGCGAGAGCCCACGGAACCGAAAAGGTCTGGCTGATGACCGCTCGCGCGCAAGAAGCATGGCCGAAATGGACGTGCGGTGGGCGGAGCCACGCGTGAATCCTGCCACTCGGGCCTTCGGTGGAACTCCATGTAGGGCCACGAAGCGTGTGAAGCGTGTGCCGAAGTGGACATGCGGTGGGCGGGGGGGCGGATGTGGTCCCTGCCTACGCGGCCTTCGGCGGAGCTCCCTCTGGGGAGCCCGAAACGTGTGAGGGGTGTGGCGACATAGGCATGTGGTGGGCGGGAGGCCGCATGTGGACCTTGCTGCTGGGGCCTTCCGTGGATCTCCGTATGAGGCCACGAAACGTGTGTGTGGGGGGAGTGCCGTGGACCCTGCCTTCGGCGCATTCGGTGGAGTTCGTTGTGGGGCCACGGGACGTGTGAAACATGTGCCGAATTGGACATGCGGTGGGCGCGGGAGCTCCTGTGGCCGCACCCACTGGGGCCTTGGGTGGAGCTGCCGATGCGGCCACGAGACGTGTGGGGGGTGTGCCGACATGGACATGCTGTGGGCGGGGAGCCGAATGTGACTGCACCCACTGGGGCCTTACTTGGAGATCCGTATGGGGCCACGCAACGTGCGAAAGATCCTTACATGGACACGAGGTGGGCGGGGATCCGCATGTGGACCCTGTCATTTGGGCTTTCGGTGGGGCTCTCTATGGGGCAACAGAACGTGTGAGCGCTTGGCTGGACTGGGCTGGACATGCAGCGGGCGGGGAGCTGAATGTGGGCCCTGCCACTGGGACCTTCTGATGGAGCTCTATATGTGGCCGAGAAGCGTGTAAGGGGTGTGCCGAAAAGGTGGACTGATGCGGAGAGCAGAAGGAAAGGGGAGGAGACGGAGGAGGAGGAAGAGGAGGAGTGAGACGCGGGGCGTTGTCTCTTCAAAACGAGGACCCGACTCTAATGGTTGGGAACACTCTTTCGGAGCTCCGCGCAGACTTCTTGGGTCGTCGCTGGATCCCCCTCCCTGGCGTGGTCCGCGCACCAGGGGCGGCGCAGGAGGCGCTGCCAGGGAACCCAGGGCCGATCCAAGAGATCTACGCGGAGCTCCGCCCCTTCGTGTGCAGGCGGTATCTTCTGCTTCGGGCATGGGCTCCAGACCCCGGGGGGAGCCACGCTAACACAGAAGCAACAGTCGGGCGTTGGCAGATCTGGGTTTAGAGGAACCTGGTTTAGTAATTTGTACCGGGGGCGCCCCCCCGTCCCATCTCCACTAACCGGAACTGCCGTCACCCGAAAAACACCAGCTACGGCAAACCTGGTTTAGTGAATCTGGCCACTTGAGGGGCCCCAGGGCCCTACCACTAACCGGGTCCCCTTTACCCGGGGTCCTGGCTATACCCGAAACAGGATACCTGGGACCTCCGCCACCCCGCGGGCTCCCAAGCGCCGGCCAGTGGCCTCCAGCCTCTGGAGCGGCGGCGCCCGCTCGGCCGCCGCGCGGCGTGTGCCGCGAGCCTGCTGGCGCCGCCGGTCGACCGGCATCGTTGCGCGTGTAGCTTCCCGTGCTGACGAGTAACGGTAGGGGAGGACTGCCACAGGGCGGGAAGCATCGACCTGGAATCGGCGATACGTCGCCGATCGATCTCGGGCGCTTGCTTCCCCATGCTAGAGGCCTCCCAGCCGGGGTCCGAGTAGGGTGGGTCGGGGGTCGGAACATCGCGCCGCATCAGCGATGCACCGTCGATGCACCGCGCCAGCGCCCGCGCAGCAGAAGCTGGACAGCACCGAGAGGAGCGACCGTGGATCTCTCTCGTGGCGCGCGCTGCGAGCAGGATCCCGCGGCGGGTCCGGCCGTGGCGGCGCGGACATTAGAGGCCTCCCAGACAGGGTCGTAGAAGACGGGGTCGGAAGATCGGCCTGCACCGTCGATGCATCAGCGCTGCTTCGTCGATGCGTCGGCGATGTACTGCCGCCGCTGGCGCGGAGAAAGCCGGGCTCCGCATCGAGAGGCACCGCTGGGGCATCGGCGATGCGGCGCAATCCTCCGACGCCGTTTACTCTGACTCCATCTGGGAACCCTGGAGGCATGCCCCAGGGGCCCAGGAGAGGCGGCGCATCAAAAACGCATATCTCCTCCTCCTCCTGCTCCTCCTCCTCCTCCTCCTCCTCCTCCTCCTCTTCCCCCTCCTCCTCACCCTCCTCCTCCCCCTCCTCCCCCTCCTCCTCCTCCTCCTCCTCCTCCTCCTCCTGCTCCTGCTCCTGCTCCTGCTCCTGCTCCTCCTCCTCCTCCCTCTCCTCCCCCTCTTCCTCCTCCCTCTCCTCCCCCTTTCCCTCCTCCTCCTCCTTTCCCTCCTCCTCCCCGGGACCCTCGAAAGGCGCGCTGCTGCCCGGCCCTCGGGCCTCGGGCGGCCGTTCGGGGTGCTTCTGGACTCCCTGCCAGTGGATCTCGGCGGGGCGCACCGGATGGTGTTGGCCAACACCCCGGGACTCGAAGACCGCCAGCATTCTGTCGGGCGTGTCCCCCTCCAGGGGGATTTTCGACGAGAAAGAAAAACACATACTCCAAACATACCCCCCAAAAAATCAAAATACTAAAAATAGTCCTCATGCTATGTTTGGACTATTGTTGGATTATTTTTGGACTACTTTGGGGGTATTTTTTATTTTTCGTCGCACATCCCCCTGTAGGTGGACAGGCCCGACTTAAGGATACCACCCCGGGGCTCGAAGACCGCCAGCACCGTCCCGGAACCTTCGAAAGCTCCAGATACCCCTGCGCCCCTCCCTGGAATGCAGCAAACACGCCAGCAGGCAAGGAGTTCTGGAAGTCCGCGCGGCTCTCCTGGGTCGGCGCTGGAGCCCCGTCCCTGGCGTGCGGAGCGCGCCGAGGGGCGGCGGCGGAATCGCAGCGAGGGGGAGCACAGCGCCGGCTTGAGAGATCTGTGCGGACCTTGGAACGGTATGTTTAGATGCTCATTCTGGGGACCTTCCCAGAGCCACTTGCTCCACTCGTGCGTCGAAGCTGCGTCGAACCTGAGTCGAACATGAGTCGAACCTGAGTCGAATCTGAGTCGAACCTGAGTCGAACCAGAGTCGAAACTGAGTCGAACCAGAGTCGAACTTGAGTCGAACCTGAGTCGAACAGATCCATTAGGTGGCCCCCAGAAGGGTCCCCAAAACGAGCATCGAAGTGTGTCGTTTGAGGCTACCCGCCTTCGGCTCCTCGACCTCCCTCCCCCCCTCCCTCCAGCCTCCGGCTCCCTCCCGCCCTCCGCAGCCGCCACTCCTTGCAGGAGCCCAGCAGCAGAGGCACCCGGTTGAAGAGGCCCTCGCGGACCAGGTCGAGGGGCACGGAGGCCAGGCCCTCCTGGGGAGGCGGGTCGGGGAGCACCGGGAGGCAAGGCGAGGCGAGGCGCGGCGCCAGGCAGCGAAGCCGAGGTGCGAAGGGGTGCAACCCGGGAACATCGAGCGCTCCTGCCTGTTCCACGGGCACGTCAGGGCAGCGGATCGACCGATGAGGGGGAGTGTGTCTCACGGGCAGCGGGCTGGCAACAAAAAGTCCTGGGGGGGGACCCCCGAAGCGGGGAGGACTCCCCGCACCTTCCCACCCCCCCCCTCAGTGCAAGCAAGCCAGGGCATTCCCCGACTGAGAAGCCGCCCCCCCCCCGCATCGAACCTGAACGCCCCAAGCCCTTCTCCCCCTGGGCAGGGGGGATGGGAGCGGCAACCAAGGACGCCCCGCCCCCGTTCGGGCATCTAAGAGCGAGGGGCGCAGAAACCATGGAGCCCCCCCTCTTGTGCAGAGGGGGGCATATCCTCAGTTTTTGTGGCCCCCGCGACGGAGGGACGACGAGAGAGAAGCGGAGGAGGAGTCACCAGAGAACGGGGAAGATGATGAGGGAGAAGGGAGGGCCAGGGCGAGGAGAAGGGAGGAATGGGCTGAGGAGTGGGAGAGGATCTGACGGCAGGGGGGGAGGATGGGCGGAGGAGGAGCAGGAGGAGGAGCAGGAGGAGGGGGAGGCAATAAGGGGGAGGCAGGAGCAGGAGGGGAGGAGGAGGGGGCGGAGGAGGAGGAGGAGGAGGAGGAGGAGGAGGAGGAGGAGGAGGAGGAGGAGGAGGGGGAGAGGAGAAGGGCGTTCCAGGCCGGGCGGGCCTCCGCGCCGTCGATGGTCGGGCCCACGGCCATGCTCTGCCCGATGCCCCTCGCGCGGGATCAAAGTGCACGCGCAAGCACACACGCATACAGGCACCACCGCACGTAAGCACGCACGCACCGACGCACCTACACACACCCACACACCCTCACACCAACACACACACACACACACACACACGAACGCACGCACGCACGCACGCACGCACGCACGCACGCACGCGCACACACACACGTGCACACACACGCGCGCACACACACACATACACACACAAAACACACACACACAGACACGCGCGCGCGCACGCACGCACGCACGCACGCACGCACGCACACACACAAACACACAAACACACACAGACACGCGCGCGCACGCACGCACGCACGCACGCACGCACACACACACACACACGCACACACACACACACACGCACACGCACACGCACACGCACACGCACACGCACACGCACACGCACACGCACACGCACACGCACGCACACCACGCACGCACGCATTCACGCACGCACGCACGCGCACGCGCGCGCACGCACGCGCACGCACGCACGCATGCAGGCACCACCGCACGCAAGCACGCACGCACCGACGCACCTACACACCCACACACCTTACACCAACACACACACACACACACACACGCGCACGCACACGCACGCAGGCACGCACGCACGCACGCGCACACACACACACACACACACGCGCACACACACACACGCGCACACACACATACACACACAAAACACACACAGACACGCGCGCGCACGCACGCACGCACGCACGCACGCACGCACGCACACACAAACAAACACACACACACACACAACACACACACAGACACGCGCGCGCACGCACGCACGCACGCACGCACGCACGCACGCACGCACGCACGCACGCACGCACGCACACACACACACACACGCACACGCACACGCACACGCACACGCACACGCACACGCACACGCACACGCACACGCACACGCACACGCACGCACACCGCGCACGCACGCATTCACGCACAAACGCACGCGCACGCGAGCGCACGCACGCGCACGCACGCACGCGCACGCACGCACGCGCACGCGCACGCGCACACGCACACGCACACGCACGCACGCCACACGCACACGCACACGCACGCACACGCACACGCACACGCACACGCACACGCACACGCACACGCACACGCACACGCACACGCACACGCGCACGCGCACGCGCACGCGCACGCGCAGGCGCACACGCACGCACGCACGCACGCACGCACGCACACACACACACACACCACACACACACACACACACACGAACGCACACGCATACGCATACGCATACGCATACGCATACGCACACATGCACACACACACACTTTCGGGCCGTCGCGGGCGGGAGACACTCCTCGCCGTCAAACGCACGCGCGGCAAGCGACGCGAACGCCCAGAAGCCTGGAAGAGAAGAGACAGAAGAAGGGAGAAAGGCCGACCCCTCACGGGGCCGTCGCCACAAACACCCTCAGAGAACGGATCGAGTACAAGAACCGTGCGGCAACCCCGACTCCCCACCTACTCACCCGACGGCGTGGTCAACGAGCAGCTGTTTGGTCTTCCGAGGGTTGTTCTGTGATGGCCCCGAGGCCCTCAGCGGTCCCCAGGAGAAGAGCTTCCCAACCCTGAACGCCCGCGCCTGGCGCCGACGCCGCGTCGAGGCGGCAGAACCCGGCGCATTTCCGAGGCCCCCGTCCTGGGGTCGTACGTGGGCGGGGCGACGGTGATGCCAGCGGGCGGCCGCGTCAGCAGCAGGGCGTCCTTCCCGCGCAGGCACACCAGCTGCTGCTCCGAGGCGGGGCACCTGGGCGGGAAGGAGTGGTGCGCACGTAGACGTCGTCGCCGTCGCCGCCGTCTTCCCCGGCGTCGCCCGCGCGCCCGTGCTGGCCATGGGTAGCAATGCCGACGGCTCTGGTTCTGGATGTTTTGCCTGCCCAGGTGAGCTCGGCCGTCATTTCCGCAGGCGACCCCCGATCCAGCGTCTGAGCGCGAAAAGCCTTCGCAAGGACGGCGAGATGTCGGGCCCAGGCTCCGCACTGCAGAGGGGCATCGGGTGCCCGGGCGGGAATTCCGGGGAGGCGGGGTGGGGGGAGGGTCATGTCACCTGCCCCAGGATTCCAAGCCGCCTCCGTGGATCCCTGGTGGCCCATGGCGGCTGAGGCGGACCCCGTTCAGACACTCACGGCTGTACGCCGACCATCGCCAGGAGCGCCGAGACCCCGGAAGGCAGCCCCCAGGAGGTCGCAAGTAGCTTCAAACAGCATCCAAAGGAAGACATCAGGGGCAGAGCGGTCTGCCTCTCACCTCACGCTCTGCGAGGCCGCGACGAACCCCTCCGAACCCAGGACGGTCTCCGGGTCGCCAAAACGGCATCGAGACGGCCCCGTTCACCCGCAGCCCATCACAGTTTCCACATTCGCCCTCAAACGCCTCCTCCTCCTCCTCCTGTTTCGCCTCCTCCTCCTCCGCCTCCGCCTCCTCCGCCTCCGCCTCCTCCTCCTCCCCCCACCTGGCAATTCAAACCGCGTCTCGAGATTGTTTTCGCAATGGGTTCATGTGGCCAACACAACAATGTTCAGGGACCGGCCACCCTCAAGGCCGCGCAGGCTACCATCATCATCCTTATTGACCTTGGCCAAATATTAGCTCGAGGGTGTTGCGTCCCCAAGCGACTCGACCTGTTCTATAGGGGCGCGTTCGCAACAAATTCCCAAGAGGACGAGTGCAAACAGCAACAAAAACGTGAGATGTGGCAGCAATGATGAGAATTACCCCGGCGACGTAAATAACCACTGGGCAATACGGGGCACGAGTAGCTCGGGACACGTTATACAGAGGTGATGAAGTGACATGGGCGCATATAATTCTGCGAGCGGCATTCGTGATGCTAGCAGCCCCTGAGGGATGGCCAGGTCCCGGTCAGATCTGCGCGGTGCCTCACTCCGCTGTACCCGCCAGCAGCCTTCGAAAGTGGCGACAGCTTCGCAGATCGTAGCCCCCCCCAGGGACGGCGAGGTCTCGCTCAGATCTGCGCGGTGCCTCACTCCGAAGGACCCCCCAGCAGCCCTCGAAAGTGGCGACAGCTTTGCAGATCGCAGCCCCCCCAGGGACGGCGAGGTCTCGCTCAGATCTGCGCGGTGCCTCACTCCGCAGGACCCACCAGCAGCCCTCAAAGTGGCGAAAGTTTCGCAGATCGCATCCCCCAGATCACAAGAGGTACACACATGGCAAGAGCAGACAAGAGGAAGGCGGGGAGAGGCGGGAAGCGGGAAGGACGCGCGAGCAGTGCTCTTTCAAAACGAATACTCACCCAAGGAGGGTTGGGAATAAAATGGAACAGGGGAGAGAAGCTAGATAAGAAGAGCAACGATCTATACTTAACACAGTTTTGGGGACCCGACCCACCCTCCACCCATCAAAACCACGACCCACCCTCACCGAGGATAAGCTCCAGAGCCTGCGATACGATGCTCAGCTTCAACGCTAACCTACAAGTGCTCTGCTTGTTGCGAACATGATGCAAAAATTGTCCTGGCGAAGGTCCCAACTATATGCAGTTATGGGTACCGTAATTGTGAATATCTGCTTCAGTGAAGCTCCCTATGGGGCCACGAAACGCTGAACTGGGCGGGGGGGAACGCTGTACTGTGTGGCTGGTGTGCCGAATTGGGTTTCCGGGACGCTGAGGGCTTCGGTGGAGCCCCCTATGGGGCCACGTAGCGCTCTACTGAGTCTGCGGACGGTCCCACTGGGGGCTTCGGTGGAGCCCCCTATGGGACCCCGAACCGCTGCTCTGCGCAAATGAAAATGCCAAATGACATTTCCCGGACGCATACGGACGGTGGCACTGGGGCCTCCGGTGGAGCCCCCTATGGGGCCACGAAGCGCTGCACTGGGTGGGTGAAAATTTAGCTTCCGCGACGCATGCGGACGGGGGCACTGGGGCCTTCGGTGAAGCTCCCTATGAGGCCACGAACCGCTGCACTGGGCGTGCGGGACGCATGCGCACGGCAGCACTGGGACCTTCGGCGGGGCAGAGAGGGCGACCCCGGCCGGCGTGGGGCTCCGCGCTCCCCGGGGTCGCCCTCGCTGCCTCGGTGCGCGTGGCAGGCACTGCTGAGCCCGTCGGCCCACACGCACCTCGACGCACCGAGCCACCGGAGGCCTCCCTGCGCCTCGTGCTCGTCCTCCTCCTCCCCCTCCGCTCCTCCCTGCCCCTACCCTAAGGAAGCCCTGGAGACGACAGGGCCGTTTTTGTTACCGGTTCCGTTTTGCCGTTTTTGTTGCTGGTTCCGACGCCGTTTTTGTTACCGCTTCCGTCGCCGTTTTTTAAACGGTTCCCGCTCTGGTTCCAATCCTGGAGCCGTTTTTGTTGCCGCTTCCGGTCGCCGTCTTTTTGCCGTTTCCATTTTCAAGGGACACTTTTTCGGAAACGGTGAAAAAACGGCTCTGCCGTTTCCGGGGGCCACTAATGCCCTGCCCCTGCCCCTCACGAGAAGGGATTTGAAGGGGCCCTGGGACGCACAAACAGATACACGCAAAATAACAAGATTCCCCCTATGTTCCCACATGGTCTGGGCTTTCGTCTTCCCCCCCACCTCCCATATTTTCCCATATTTTCTGGGGAATCGACGATTGATTGTGTCTGTGTTTTTGTTCCCTCCTGAGGATTGCCGCAAGGAACGTTGTGAGTAAGTCGATGATCGTCCCGTTATCCCTTCGCTGCAAGTGCTGCTGCAGAAGCGTGCGTGCGCACCGGCGCCTGTGCAGCGCTCCTGGTATCAGAGTGCTTCTGTACACCACAACGCTTGTACACTACTTCTGCTGCAACGGCAGGTGCACCACAACGCCGCAATGCCTGTGTACACCGCTGCGTCTGTGCACTCACTGCCTTTGCGATCCTCGAAGGGCCGGCCTTCGAACACATCCAGGCGACGTCGGTCGTCGTCGTCGTCGTCGGTGTCCTCGTCGTCTTCGGGGAAGGCTTAGGAAACATACCAGAAGGCTGGGGGCTTCCGAGCCTTGCGAGAAGGCCCGCCCCCTCTCAGTTCTCCCCATCGCTCGCCGCCGAAGGGTGGACAGGGGGGCGCATGTGGGGAGAGGGGCGTGGAAAAACAGGGGACCAGCTGGAGGGAGGGAACGCCGAGCCTGGGGACAGGCATCGGGCGTCGTGGCTGCGCCACGAGGGTCGGTGTCTGGAGATCCCGGGGCCTGAAAACGGCCCCCGAGAGCCAAGACCGCAAGACGCAAGCAGTCGTGCTTTGGTCGCACTGCCAGGAGGGCGGCGATGTGTTCAAGCCCTGGCGGCCCGATCTTCTCGGCCCACTGCGCGTAGAACTCCTTCGAGTGGCCCTCGTAGGGCTGGAAGAACCAGGACAAGTGGTCCGTCCCGCTCTCCTCGGAGGAGGCCGGCTTTACACCGACACGGATAGGTGGCGTCATCCGAACCCTACCCCCGCCAACCATCGATTCCCCTGAATCGATGCGAGGCGGGGGTAGGGTTCGGACTTCGCCACGCGTTCGACGAATTCCGAACCGTATCCCCGCCGCCCGTCGAGTTGCCTGAATCGTTGATCGGCGAGGGTAGGCTGCAGATTTCACCGCCGATCCTGAGGGGATGCCAGCCTTACACTGACACCGAGGAGGGATCTGAGCAAGGACCGACCGTCCCGGCATTCCTATAGTCCTACCACGGGATGTTCTTAGAACCCAGAAGTCTTCGAAAAACAAAAACAGTGTTCTTAGAACATTCACCCGATGTGCTAAACCAAGACAGTCTAAACCAGACATGTTCGAAGAACACTTCGTGGGAACCGCAAGAGGCTCTGAGAACATTCTTTGGTGGGACTTTAGTCAAGCCCTGAGTGGGCCCTGGAAACGACAAGGCCGTTTTTTGTTACCGGTTCCGTTTTGCCGTTTTTTGCCGGTTCCGGCGCCGTTTTTGTACCGGTTCCGTCGCCGTTTTTTGACCGGTTCCCGCTCCGGTTCCAATCCTGGAACCGCTTTTGTTGCCGTTTCCGGTCGCCGTTTTTGTTGCCGTTTCCACTTTCAAGGGACACTTTTTCGGAAACGGTGAAAAAACGGCCCTGCCGTTTCCGGGGCCCACAAAGGGAAGGGCAAGAGGGGAGTGATGACTGGGGGGAGTGATGACCAGGGAGTGGGGGGGCCAGGGCCATGATATGTCCCCAAATCTCATGGCGCTTCCTTCTGATTTGGGAACGTCCCTCGGCACCCCCGGGGGCCGCGCACATCCCGCCGGCCGTGATTTCGCCCCTCCCTCTTGGACGCCTCCCACTCTTGGACGCCCCCCTCTTCGACGCCCCCGAGCGTCTGGGGCTCACGAGACGGCGTCGGTGCATACGGGGTCAGTAAGAGCGCTGGATCTTGCGTGATGCTGCAGGGCCAGGGTCGCATTGGCCCGGGCTTGGGTGCAGGATTCTGCAGGATCTTGTTGGATCTTGGCGGAACCTGCAGGATCCTGCAAAGCCCGATGGACCCGGGGTCAGAAATTAGGTCCCCGATGTGTGGTTCTTCATGGGAGCCTCAGTGGGTCACACAATTCTTTTTGCGGTTTGGGAGGATGTTGTCTGTATTTCGTCGGACGCGGTCGACATATGAACGACACATGGGCGAAATCTGGACGAAAGGGTGAGGCGGTGCGGTCGAAATCTGGACGAAATCCAGTCGACATCATACGTTGATGACAGGACCGCGGAGGTCCACAGAGGCTCCCATGAAGGACTCACCCAAGATCCGATCCCGTCTGGGATGTTCTTGTGTTGCTCGGGGCGATCGGAACGGATCGGCCCCTGTCCGGGCCGGTGCCGGTGTGCGGTTGGCGGCCCCGCGCTCCATGATCGCGGCCTGGAACAGCGGCCACGATGGGCGCGACACCTCCCGCGGCTGGGGGACGCCACGCGGCGGCCCAGGGCCCAGGGGAGGGGGCACGACTGCTCCTCGTTCTCCTCCTCCTCCTCCTCCTCCTTCACCTTCTCCGCCTCCTCCGCGAACCCCGCGTCTTCTGCCACTCACGTCCGTCTCCGCCGCGCGATCCATCACCGCGCTCATCATCCTCATCCTGGTCCTCTCCACCTTGCCCTGGCCCTCCGCCTCATCCGTCTCTGCCGTCCTTCCTCCTCTCCTATGGTATGACCCTCCTCCTCCTCTCCCTCCTGCTCCTCCTCCGTCTCCCTCTCCTCCTCCTTCTCCTCCATCTCACTCCCCTTCCCCATCACCGACATCGCGAGACAGACACGGTCAGAACCCTAGACCACACCTTCACGTGCGACACTGGACGACCCGTGAGAGCCCTCACGAAAAGGTGAGACCGCCCGCCTTACACATCGGCTGATCATGCGGGATTGTCCGGGTCTACCGCCGCCCCCTCCTGCTCCTGCTCCTGCTCCTGCTCCTGCTCCTCCTCCTCCTCCTCCTCCTACTCCTCCTCCTCCTCCTCCTCCTCCTCCTCTCCCTCCTCCTTTCCTCCTCCTCCTCCTCCCCTCCCCTTCCCCCTCCGCCGCCCAGGGGAGGTGCTCCCCGTTGGGCTCACTCCCACCCCACTCATGGGCGAGAACATCTCCGCACCCGCGGCCTCGCGCACCGGGCCCTTGGCTCGCGACCCCGCGGAGACGGGGCGCTTTTTCGCGGATGCCCCGCGCGGAGCGTATCCGTGCGGCCGCGTCTCTAGAGGCCTCCTGGATGGGGTCCGAGTAGTCGGGGTCGGAGGATCGCGCGGAATCGGCGATACATTGGCGATACATCGCCAATGCATCGGTGATGCACCAGCCATGTATCGTCGACGTCGGCGATGTATCGTCGACGTCGACGTGACGCAAAGCCGGCCCCACATCGAGCCGCATCGCCGATGCATCGTCGATGCGGTGCGACCCTCCGACCCCATCTACTGCTCGGATCCCATCTAGGAGGCCTAGAGCCACGGATTCCAGACTGAAGGCGCGGATACGGATATGTTGGCCGCACGTGACTCCCACCAACTTCAGGCGGCGAGCAGAAGGGGCCAGGACGCCAAGGGGCGGCCCACTCGCGGACCGAGCAGGCAGCGTGGGCCGCCCGAGGAGGCGTGGCCCGCTCGGAGACTGCCCGCCCAGCACACGCCCTCCGGGACCAAGGGCGCCATCTTCGAGCGGCGCCCCTCTCCTGACCCTGCTCCGTCGCGCGCGCCGCCACTCGATCGGCGACTCCGACAGGTGTGGTTTGCAGAGGGGTGTGGTTTACAGCCCGCGCTCGGGGGGGCGGGCGAGGACGTCGACAGGGATCTTTGCCGAGCATTCACGAGGGCTCATCCAACCTCTGGCGCTCAGCGTGGCGGCCCCCTGTGAGCCCCAACGGCGCCGAGCGTACAGGCCACACCTCGGCGAAACCACCTCCTACTCTGTGGTCGGTCTCCTACTCGCTACTCCCTGGACCTCCCCTTTGCGTTCGTCCTGACGGGGGATTCGAGGCGAATCCAGCGGCGGCGACGAGGGCCCCCCACGAGGCCCAAACATCGAGAAACGGGCGAAGGGTGACTGTATGAGTACTTGTTCCTCCTCTGACCCACTGCACTCGCCGAACCGATGCTCTGCCCTCCGAGCACCAGGTGCCACATCACGGAGAAGCCGCCCGCGCTCTCCCCGAACAGCGTCACCCTCGAGGGGTCCCCCCCGAAGGCCCGTGCGTTGCGCTGCACCCACTGGAGGGCGGCCCTCTGGTCCCGGAGCGCCATGTTGCCTGCGGAGCGGCAGGCAAATGACCGAGCGGATGGGAGTAGGAGGATCAGATGAGGACACGGTATCCATACCGCTACCATCGACCAGTCTTCGCGTTTCAGGCTGTCATCGGAGGCCCTCGTCGCCACCTTTGGATTCACATCGAATTTCTGGTCAGAACGCACCCTGGGAGAGGTCCAGGGAATAGCGGTATTGGTATCTTGTGGTTGCCACAGTTGAGGTGGGGCTGGAGGAGGTAAGAGGAGCAGGAGGGAGGAGGAGGGAGGAGGAGGAGGAGGAGGAGGAGGAGGAGGAGGAGGAGAAGGAAAGGATCGAGAGTGCGGTGGTGGTAGGGCTCGAGCCGAACAGCGTGTTCTGTTTGCGTCGTGCGGTCGTTTTCGTTCCACCTTACCCGTCGGTCGGAAGACGTGGGTAGAAACATGAAGTAGGAAGGCGTTGTAAGTAGGTTGGGCTTCCGCCCGCCCCCCTGAGGAGGGAAAGCGGCGACACCGCTCGATCCTCGAAGTGGCAAGGCGCCGAAAGCAGATTGGGGCCTGGGGATCGAGCACTACCTTCAAGTCGGGCGCGTCCCCCTACAGGGGGATGTTCGACGAAACATAAAAAGATACCCGGAAAAAAATCAAAACATAGTCCAAAAATAGTCTGGGTACTATTTCCCTACCTAGGCTCTGCCTAGAAGGGTTCTTACCCTAGAGCTTGAAGGGGCCGGGCAATGGACCCCGCCCCGGGCGGTTTCCCTGGCATCCGCCCCGTGGTTCCCCCAGTTCGCCCCCTGGGTTCACCCAGCTTAGCTCAGCCAAGCTTAGCTAAGCTTAGCTTAGCTTATCACATCGTAGCTTAGCTTAGCTTAGCTTAGCTGAGCGTAGCATTGCCTAGCCTAGCCTAGCTTGGGTTAGCTTAGCTCAGCTTACCTTAGCTTAGTTTAGCTTAGCTTAGCTTAGTCTAGTTAGCCTAGCCTAGCCTAGCCTAGCCTAAGTTAGCTTAGCTTAGCAGTGCATAGCTCACCTTAGCTTAGCGCAGCATTAGCACAGCATCGCATAGCATAACACAGCATAGCCAAGCACAGCATAACATAGCACAGCATAGCATAGCATAGCTCAGCATAACATATCATAGCGCAGCATATCATAGCATAGCATAGCATAGCGATGCGTAGCATAGCACAGCGCGGCATAGCATAGCATAGCACAGCACAGCACAGCACAGCATAGCATAGCGCAGCATAGCATAGCATTGCATAGCATAGCATAGCATAGCCTATCATAGCGCAGCATTGCATAGCGCAGCGCAACATAGCCTCGCGTAGGAAACGGAGCATTCTCAAGCACACCCGGTGAGCGAATGCGAACACATGCGTGTGTGTGTGTCTGTGCGCAGGCAAAGCAAAAACACAATCAAGCAACAGCAATAACAATAGCAAAGCAAAACCAACAGCAACAGCAAAAACAAAAGCAAATGCAAAGGCAAAAGCAAAGACAATAACACAAGCAACGGCAATGCAAAGCAAAAGCAAAACCAATGCGAACGTATAGATGTAGATGTAGATGTAGATGTAGATGTAGGTGTAGGTGTAGATTTGGATGTAGGTGTAGGTGTAGGTGTAGGTGTAGATGTAGATGTAGATGTAGATGTAGGTGTAGATGTAGGTGTAGATGTAGGTGTAGATGTAGATGTGAGTCTCGCTGTTGATGTTGATGTAGATGTAGATGCAGGTGTAGATGTAAATGTAGCTGTCGGTGTAGATGTAGATGCTGCTTTCCTAAATGCTCCAACTCCTAGGTAGGGTCGCACTGGGATAAGTGTTGCATATCTTTCGGCCTTCTTGGGGTATTTTGGGGGTATTTTTTTCGTCGAACATCCCCCTGTAGGGAGACACGCCCGACATAACACTACCTGCTTCCAGCGACCGACGGGTGGGGTGGGCTGCGAACGGATCTCAACACGAAAGCGGCCCACGGCATCGCCGGAGCACCGTCCAGCGCGAGCCCCGGGGGGCGGCGGGGGCGGGGAGCGGGCCGAGGGCCCAGCGCGGAGGGCGGAGGGAGGGCGGAGGGAAGCGGAGTGGGGAACTCGCAGACAGCTCGGACGTCCGTCCCCCGTGCGCTCTTCGGTGCTGTGCGCTCGCCTCTCACCAGGGGGGCCAAGATGCTCCTCCAGGGTCCTCGCCGGGAAGAGGGGCACGCGCCCGAGCGATACCGGGGGAAGGGAGGCAGTGGAAGGGGGAGGGGTTGCGAGACGCTCGCCCTAGAGGAAGGAGGCGCTCGCCTCAGAGGAGGTGCCCACGGCTGTGAAGGAACTCACCTGCAAGACGCGCTACCGGCCGCCAATGATCTGAACGAGGCCCCGCGAAAGGAGGAAGAAAGGAAGGGGTCGAGACGGCACTGATGGAGGGGGGGCGAAGACGCGGGCCGAGCACGAGGGAGGAGCGGCGTGAGCAGCAGGCGCAGGAGCTGCAGGAGGAGGAGGAGGGACGAGAGCGGGGGGGGGGGCAAGGGAGGGGGCTGGAGAGAGGGGGGGAGGGGGCTGGAGGGAGGGGGCTGGAGGGAGGGGGCTGGAGGGAGGGAGGGGGCGGAGGGGATGAAGTAGCAGCAGGGGCAGGAGGCATGGGGCCAGAAAGAGAAGGGACGGGACGAGGGCTGAGTGGAAAGGGCAAGAATGGCGCAGTCGCAGCACAAAGCTCGAGCTGAACAGTGTCTTTCGTCTCCAGTCTGTGTTCGTTTTCCCTCGTTCTGTCTTCGCTCCCCCTTTGGTGCAGAACGAAGTCAAAACGACAGCGGTCCGTGAAGTCGCGAAAACACCGTTCAGCTCGAGCCCTGCCGCGCCATTTCTGACCTCTTGCCCCTCCCTCCCATCCCTTGCCGTGAAGTTGACAGGGCGCGGTTCCCGAAAAGGCCAGTCTGCCCGGAAGCATGGCCACACGCGAAAGCGGAACCATCGAGGCTTGGTGATGCAACTGTATGGACAGAGTGTCGTTCCGTGGGGTGGGGGCCCTACGGCAACATCGGCGTGTGAAGAACACGGGAAACTGAGCCATACCATATGACGCGAGAGAACGGCCATCGCTGCGCCAAGAACGCCGCTCCTTGGACGGGGGCACCGTGAGGTTCTGAAGCGTGGCGAATGCTTCAGCAAGAACACCACTTCTGCCGATGAGAGAGCACGGCCAAATGTGCGGCGAGAGCGGAAGTTCCGTCGGACTTGAGGGGCCGAGGCGAACGTGCTCACAACAAAATCGTATCGGAAGGGGCCGAGGAGGGAATATAATGCCTCTCCCTGCCTCCTTGTCTTGCTCCTTGGGGTCTGCCTCCTCGTTACCATGGTTCTCCTCGTCGTCGTCCTCCTCGTCTTCGTCCTCCTCGCCCTCTTCATCCCCAAACGTGCGAGGTCTTGACTTGTGCAGTACGGGTTGCCCAGATGTCCTGACCCTTTCCCCACGGCAGGTGTTCACTCTGAGTCTATCTTTGACGGTCCCAGGCCCTGGCGACGGCCCCTGGAGGCCGAAGATCGCAAACACCGTCCGTCGTGCTTGTTTCACGACGCCAGCATGTCTAGAGGACTCCCACGTGAGGTCCGAGTAGATGGAGTCGAAGGAACGCACCGCATCGCAGATGCATCGGCGACGTCGGCGATGCATCGGCGACGTCGACGTAGAGAAAAGGGAGCTCCAGATCGAGCCGCATCGCCGGTGCGGCGGCGATGTGGCGCGAGCCCCTGACCCCATCTGCTCGGACCTCGTCTGGCTGGCAGACCTAAAGAAACATGCCGGGGCCCCCCCGCCCCCCCCCGTGGGCCGCGACATCCGAGATCGACCCCAACCAACAATCGATTCTCCCGAACCGAGGGGAAGTCGAACCTTACCCCCGCCGCCCATCGAACTCCCTGAATTGAGCAGGGACCGACCGTCCCGGCATTTCTATGGTCCTACCACGAAGTGTTCTTAGAACCCAGGCAACAGAAAGTTCTAAGACGAAAAAAGTGTTCTAAGACCGAAACAACGAAGTTCCTGTGGTTCCTACCACGAAAGTTCTAGGAGCAACAACAGTGTTCTTAGAACATGGACCCGATGTATTAAAACAAGACAGACTCCGCCAGAAAAAAACATGTTCTGAGAACATGCCGTGGGAACCACCAAGAACATTCTTAGAACATTGCCTGGTAGGGCTGAAGGCGAGCCGGGGCGCTTCGCCGCAGCTGCACTGCCTCGCCGAGGGGTGCGGGCGGGGCTCGGACCTCGCCCCCGAGCCCGCCGCGGAGGCGCAGGGCGCGGGCCGCGAGGGCGCCCGGCGGCGCGCAGAGAGCGCGGCCCCCGGGCAAAGGCGTGCCCCCTCTCTCGTGCGCGGCCACTGGCCATCGCTCGGGCGTCCACTCCCTGTGCTTTTTTCGATGTCGTGCGCGGTTTTTCCGCGAGATGGCCAAGGGTGCTCCTCGATGGTCCTCGCCGGAGGGAAATGCGCACGTCCGAGCGATGCCAAGGACAAGGGGGGGGGCGCCCTCGGCCCTCGGGGGGGGCCCGGCGGGAACCTTCCACAGAGGTCCATCCCGCGAGGGGTGGCGCTCACGCGTGGCCGAGGCACGGGAAGCAGCGCGCGCGAGTCCGCCGAGGAGGAGGGAGCAGGCCGCAGGACGCTCGGCTGCGCGCAACGAGCGACCCTGGGCAAAAGTCGCCCTCTCGTGCGCGGCCAAGGGGGGGGGGCGCCCTCGGCCCTCGGGGGGGCCCCGGCGGGCCCCTTCCACAGACGTCACTCCCGCGAGAGGTGGCGCTCACGCGTGGCCGAGATACGGGGCGTAGCACGCGCGAGTCCACCGGCCGGCCTGCCGACAAGCCCCGTGGGAGCAGCGCGGATGCGCCTTCGTCCTATCGTGGCTCGGTGCACCTCGAGAAGCCCGTCCCCCAATCCCTTCCACAGCATAGGTCGTGATCTGGAGGGGGATATTGAGCCGCTGATCGGCGAGGGCAGGGTCGGGGTTTCGCCGCCAAGCCCAGGAGAGTGGCCCCAGAGGGCCACGTCGCCCGTGGAGAAGGCCGACCCCAGCTCTACTGGGACCACATCTCCTCGGACCCCATCTGGCCCTATCTACTCAGCGCGATGCGGAGCGAACCACCGACCCCATCTACTCGGACCCGAGCATGTCTGGGCCACAGAATCGAGACAAAATCGGGCCGATATGAACCAGAGATCTCGTAGGATCGGCAGGTTTAGGAGCATGTATCGGGCCCCGCGGCCGTTTCAGAGCGCTTCGGAACGTGATACATAAACGGATTTTCATGACTGTAGACCCGTCTGATCCTATGGACGCCCGAAATGGGCACGGAAAAAATGGGTACTGTGCCCACCAACAAGTGTTGTCCCAAACCAACAGCGGCCGCTGTTGGGCAGGTGGCCTTTTGTCTCGAATTGACACAGGCCGAGGCGGCGTGGACAGCGAGTCCGGTTCAAAATGCACAGGAACTCCTGTTGGGCATTGTGCCCATTCTTTCCCTACCCAGTTCGGGCGTCCAGAGATCCTCCCAAGAGCGTGGCCCCGGAGGGCCCCGGCGCCTGTTGAGAAGGCCGGGTCCTCCTCCCGGAGCTGGTCGCTGGCCCAGAAGCCGAGCCTGCGTTGGCAGAGGCTGGCATCCCCGAGGCTCGCCTTCTCCTCCTCCTCCTCCTGCTGCTGCTGCGGGCCGCTCCCCCTGTACTGCATCTTCCTCGTCCCCGCCCCCCCTCTTGCTGTACTCCTCCTCCTCCTCCTCCTCGTCCTCCTCCTACTCCTCCTCCTGCTCCTCCTCCTCCTCTTCCTCCTCCTCCTCCTCCTCATGGTACTCCTTCTCGCACCGCCTCCCGTCCCCGTTTCATATCCGCTACATCCTCCTCCACCTCCTCCTTCCCCTCCCCCTCGTCCTGTTCCACCACCTCCTCCTCCTCCTCCTCCTCCTCCTCCGCCTCCCTCTTCTCCGCCTTACCAGCATCATCATAACAATCAACATCATCATCATCATCATCACCATCATCATCATCATCATCATCATCAGCATCATCATCATCATCAGCAGCAGCAGCAGCAACATCATCAGCATCAGCATGAGCATGAGCATGAGCATCAGCATCAGCATCATCATCAGCATCATCATCATCAACAACATCAGCAGCATCATCAGCATCATCATCATCGTCATCATCATGAGCACAATCAGCATCATCATCAGCATCATCACCATCATGAGCATCAGCATCAGCATCAGGTTCATCACCACCACCAGCATCATCATCATCACCATTATCATCAGCATCATCGTCATGACCAACATCACCATCACCATCATCATCATCATCATCATCATCATCGTCATCATCATCACCAACCTCATCATCATCATCATCATCGTCATCTCAATCACCATCGTCATAACCATCATCAGCATCAGCATCAACATCGTGATCACCATCAGCACCATCAATAGTATCACCATCAACGACATGACATGCATCATCGTCAGCGTCATCTCCCGTGTCATCATCATCATCATCATCATCATCATCACCATCATCATCATCATCATCACCAGCATCGCCATCATCAGCACAATCATCTCCAACACCATCACGTCGCCATGATCATCCCCAGCATCGTCATCATCAGCATCACAAACATCACAACCATGGGTGTCATCACTATCATTAGTATCATCATGATCATCACCATCACCATCGTCATAATCGTAACCATCACCACTTACATCATCACGTCCATCGTCTTCGTCATCATCGCCGAACTGATCATTGTCGCCATCAGCGTCCTGAACCTCATCATCATCATCACCATCATCATCAACAGCATGCTCAGCATCATCATTTCACAAACAGCAGCAGCATAATCGCAGTCAGCATCACCAGCAGCATGGTCATCAACCTCAACACCACCACCATCAAACGCATAAGCATCATCAGCATCACCATCGGCAGCAGCATCCTGAGCATCATAGCCATAACCATCATATGCATTATGAATAGCATCTTCAAAATCAACATCGTCGTCGTCGACATCCGCATCGTCGTCATCATCATAACCATCAACAACAGCATTGTCATCCCCATCGACATCATCATCCTCATCAGCAGCATCATCACCAGCATCGTCATCATCATCATCATCATCATCATCATCAACATCATCATCATCATTAGTATCATCATCAGCATCGTCATCGTCATCATCATCAGCAGCATCTTAATCGTGTTCGTCATCGTCATTGTCATCGTAAATATCGTAATCATCATCACAATCACCACCACCATCATCATCAACATTACCAACATCACTACCACCATCACCATCATAATCATCATCACCACCACCATCATCATCAGCATCGCCATCATCGAGAGAGCGTGATCCACCGCCGCTTTACTGTGGAAAATTGCCAACCTTTTCCTCCGGAACCCAGGGGTCCCCCCCCACCCCCCTCCGAAAATCCCCCCCCCCTGGAACCCCTCCCCCCCCCCCCCCCCCTCTCCCCCGGCAAAACCCCCCCCCTCCCCTAACCCCTCCCCCCCCCCCCCCCCCCCTCCCGCTCGAAAACCGGGGGGGGGGCCTACCGGTTCGAACCCCTCCCCCCCACCCCCCCCCCCTTCCGGACCGGAAAACGGGGGGGTCACTACCGGTTCGAAACCTCCCCCCCCCCCCCCCCCCCCCCCCCCCCCCCCCCCCTACTCACCGCCAGCAAACGACTCCCGGTCCCCACCACCGTCCGCATCACATCCCCCACTGGTGTTCCCAGCACCACTGTCCTCACCACCGCTGTCCCCACTGGTTCCACCACCGCCCCTACTGTCCCCACCAGTGGCCCCACCACTGTCGCACTGTCCCCGCTGTCCCCAGAACTGTTCCCACCACGGTTCCACTCTCCCCACTGTCTCCACGGCCCCAACCACTGCCCGACTATCCCCACTGTCCCCACTGTCCCACTGACTCCTCCGCTGTCCCACTGAGCTGTCCCACTGTTCCCACCACTGTCCCCACTGTCCCCACCACTGTCCCCACTGTACCTCTGTCCCATTGTCCCACCGCCGTCCTCGCCACCGCCTTCACCACTGTCCCCACCACCATTGTACCCTCCACTGTCCCACTGTTTCCACCTCATTCCCATTGTCCCCACACCACTGTCCCCACCACCACCGTCACCACCACTGTCCACTGTCCCCCCCTGTTCCCACCATTGTCCCCACCACTGTCCCCACCACTACCGTCCCCACCACTGTCCCACTGTCCCACTGTCCCCACCACTGTCCCGCTATCCCCTCACCACTGTCCCCACCAACACCGTCCCCACCACTGTCCGCACCCCCACTCGGTTTTCGAGGGGGGGGGGGTTCGAACCGGTAGTGACCCCCCCCGGTTTTCCGGATCCGGAGGGGGGGGGGGGAGGGGTTCGAACCGGTAGTGACCCCCCCCCCCTTTTCATGATGAGCAGGGGGGGGGGGGGGGGGGGGAGGGTTTCGAACCGGTAGTGACCCCCCCCGGTTTTTTTTCCGGGGGGGGGGGGGGGGGGGGGGGGGGGGGGGGGAGGGGTTCGAACCGGTAGTGACCCCCCCCGGTTTTCCGCCAGCAGCGGTAGAACACGCTCTTTCACATCATCGTATCACCATCACCGTCTTCATCATCATACATCGGTATCCATCCCCTTCTCTGTATGTTCCTCCATCTCCTCATCACCATTCCCCTCTTTCTCATATCATGTACACTCTTTTTCGCCCTCAAGATCATTCGACTCATGCTCTTCCTCCTCCTCGTCCTCCTCCTCCTCCTGTCCTCCTCCTCCTCCTCGTTCTCCTCCTACTTCAGCCTCCTTTCCCATCATCGTCATGTCTATCATCCTTCCCTTGTTCGCATGCTTCGCCTCCTCCTCCTGATCATCCTTTAACGGCTCTGCCTCCCCTTCCGTGCCCTGATCCTACTTGACATCTACCCCGTCCTCCTCCTCCTCTTGCGCCAGCTCATGCATCCGCCTCCTCCTGCCCCGTCCTCGTACTGATTCTCCTAATCGTCCCCGTCATGCCCTTCCTCGTCGTCCCCATCCGTTCCTTCTTCACCTCATCCCTATCCTTCTCGGTCTGCCGATGCTGCTCCCTTGCAGGAGACGACGAAGCACCGAGTCCGGTCCCGTGTTTTGGGGGAGGCCCGGCTGGAGCCCGTTGAGGCGGTACTGCAGGGTCACGACCACGAGCTGGTGGCGGCCAGCGATGTTGGACCCGTCGTACACGGAGGTACCCAGCACGCTCTGGTACGCGTCCCCCTGCGTGTACGCCCCGCCGTGCACCCAGACCATCACTGGAAGGCCTGCGGCGGGCGGACACCCGCGGACTGGCGAGCGGGGAAACATCGAGTCGTCGGAAGCCTGGCCGAGGTCACCCGGATCCGCGCTGCACGAAGAGAGACGCGGTGCTCACGTCTCCAGCCCAAGTGCAGTCCCCCATGGAGAAAAGCGCTTTTCTTTTGGACGCTGGCCCAGACCGCCAGGCGCGATCACTCCGGAGCGTGTGCAACTCCAGGCTGCGCGGCAGAAAGAGGACCGGGGGATTCTCCAGGTGTCCAGCCTCTGGAGGCTTGCTTTGGGCCCTGGACCATACGCGAGGACACTTCTCCCCGAACCCTCCTGTACAGTCCGGGACCTTCGCGACAACCCCGAACCACCAAGAGGCACCCCAGAGCCCCGGAACCCCGGAACCACAATCAGAGGAGCTACAAGCCGCATGAACATGCACGTTCAGAGATCCACGCCGATGTTTGAGATCGGCGCTGGCGTCAGGGGCGGCGCCGCCAGGGGGGCCTACGCGCCGATCTGGAAACTCCGCGCGCGGCTCCGGAAAAAAAAACTTGTTTTTTTATATAAAAAAAATTAGGTACAAAGCCAAGAGCACCCGACCAAAAACTAGCGCGCGAGTACACCACAGCGACTGTGAACACCGCAACGGCCGTGTGCAACGCAGCGCCTTTGTACACCACAGCGATTGGGTGCACCACAGCGCGCGTGTACAGCGCAGCGAATGTGTACACCGCAGCAGCCATGTGCAACGCAGCGCCTGTGTACACCACGATGCTTGCGTGCACCGCAGCGCCCAGGCACACCACAGCGCCTGTGTACACCACAGCATCCGCGTGCAACGCAACCCTGGTGTACACCACTGCGCCTGCGTGCGCAGGACAACTAGAAGGAGCATGTCGGTCAGTACCTGCTGCGGCTGCTGCTGATGATATAGTGCGATGTGTTCCCCTCCTTCCTCCTCCTGTTCCTCCTCCAACTCCTCGTCCCGTCGACCTCCTCCTCCTCCTCCTCCTCTCCTGAATCGATGTGAGGCGAGGCGGGGAAAGGGCTCGGGTTCCTCGTTCCTCATTCCCCCCTGGCACGTTGGGGCGTGCTAGAATGCCCAGTGCTGGTTGGTAGGCGTTCTGTCATCTTCTGGGCTCCCGGCCCCCTCTCTCGCCACGCTGCGCCGCATGCACCGCGCCCCCTTCTCTCGATGCCACAACACCTCGTAGAAAATACAACAGGCTGGCGCCCTCGAGGCGACAACGCACATAACAATCCGACGGATTCTCCGAGACGGCTCACGATGGCTTTAAGACGACCCCATTTGGCTTCAAGACTGCCCTGGATGGCCTCTAAACGGCCACAGAGGCTTTGAAGACCGCGCAAGGAGGCTCCAAGAGAACAATTCAGAGCGCCCAAAGAAGCCACATTCAAAAGCCTTGAAGGGTCTACACGGCCCAGGACGGCCCCAAAAAGAGGGGCCCCCAAGAGCGGCTCACAGGAGCCCAGGAGAACCCCAAGACGGCCCAACTGAGATCCATGAGGGCTCTTCGAGAAGTAAAGACGAGAGGTGCAACGCGTGAAGGCCTCCTCCTCCTCCGGTTACTCCTCCTCCACCTCCTCCTCCAAAATGTCCTGATGATGGTGAAAGTGTTGGTGATGATGATGGTGATGAGGACGATGGTGATATTGACACTGGTGCTACTAATGTTGATACTGATGATGATGATGATGATGATGATGATGGTGGTGATGATGATGATGATGATGATGATGATGATGATGATGATGATGATGAAGATGAAGATGATGATGATGATGATGATGATGATGATGATGCTATTGATGATGATGCTGGTGGTGGTGGTGGTCGCAAGTCCTGAAAGAGCCCGGCTCCGACGCCGAACAACAGCGCAACACGCACGCTTTGCAGACTTAGCTAATCTAGAACAAAATACTCAAATCTCCTGCCTGCTCCATTCCGTCCAGTCCTGCGATGACTCGAACCTGTCCACGTTTCCTCCATCACCATCATAATCATCATCCTCATCAACATCATCATCATCAGCATCGTCATCACCGCCATAACCACCACCACCACCACCACCACCACCATCATCATCATCATCATCATCATCATCATCATGTTCATCAGCATTATCGATATCGTCAACGTCGTCACCAGCAGCATCATAACCAGCACCATCCTCATAATCATCGTCATCCCCCTAAACACTACACGCATCGTCGTTATCATCACCAGCATCATCAGCATCATCAGGAACATCAGCATCAGCATCAGCATCGGCATCATCATCAGCATCACAAACATCATCATCACCATAAACATCAGCAAAATCAGCATCTGCATCATCAGCAGGATCCTCAGCATAAGCATCTTCATGATACTATGATGCATTGTCGTCAGCATCAGCAGCATCAGCAGCATCAACATCGACATCAGCATCATCATCAGCATCATCATCGTCGTCGTCGTCATCACCATTCTGATCACTTGCATCGTCACCATCACCATGTTCATCAACATCTTCAGCAGCGTCATCTTCATCACCATGTATCAGCATCAGCATCAGCATCAACATCAACATCAACATGTATCAGCATCAACATGTATCAGCATCAGCATCATCAGCATCAGCATCATCATCATCACCACCATCACCACTACAACTATCAGCATCAGCATCAGCATCAGCATCATCATCATCATCATCATCAGCAGCATCAGCATCATAATCATCATCATCATCATCATCATCATCACCATCATCATCAGCATCATCATCATCAACATCATCATCATCATCGTCACGGCTCTCCGAAGCATGGGGGCACGGTGAATCGCACGTGACGGCCTCCTGTGCCCCCTCGAACAGTCGCAACTCAGAATGCTGGGCTGGCACGGTGACGGGACTTGCCGCTGGCAGCTGAATGTGTGCGACTGGGGTGCGCTCGCAGTCGCCAAGCCTGCGTCAGCGGATATCGAACGCGTGGGCGTGTAGACGTTGAGGTAGAGGCAGTCCTCGCTCTGAAACTTGCCCGGCTCCCACTGCAGACACGCCTTCGACTTCTTGGTGGCCGCCAGCGGTGTGCTCCACGTCCTCAGGCCAGGAAGGCCGACCCACCCTCTTCGCTGGCCATCGCTCGGACGTCCATTCCCTGTGCTTTTTTTTGATTTCGTGCGTGGTTTTTTCGCCAGATGATCACGGATGCTCCTCGATGGTCCTCGCCGAAGGAAAAATGCACACGTCCGAGCGATGCCAAGCTTCGGGGGCGTCCAAAAGAGGGGCGTCCAAGAGGGGGGGCGCAAAGCGTGGCCCGAGGCACGTGCGCGTCCCAAGGGGGGAAGCCAAGGGACATCTTGAAAGGAGGAGGGGGGGCATGAAACCGGGGGAGACATCATGGCCGCAGCCATGATCTCACCCTAGTCATGACCCCCCTGTCGGTGACAACGCACGGGAGTCTCCCATACCATCTTGTTGGCTCTTGCGAATCGGCGCTAAACAACGTAAAATCGACGCTAACCGACGCTACCTATCTCATCGATCACCAGACGCTCATCGACGCCGGCGGTGCAGGGCCAAGACGGCATTGCGAAGGCATGCAAGTGTCCCATGATTTTCTACCGCCCCCGCCCCCCATGATCATCACCCTCTCTCGGCCGCACCCGCACTCTCAATCTGGCGGCCAGCGCGGGGGAGAAATGAGAAGGGGGGGGCCTTCTCAGAAGGCTCGGAAGTCCCCTGGCCTTCTGAGAAATGTCCCAAACCTCCCCCGAAGACGCGGGAAACCTTTCGGAAGGCGCGAGGCCTTCTGAGAATGTCCGCCGCCGTCTGAGAAGGTCTTCTCCTTCTCACTTCCCCCCCCTCCTCGCCCACCGCCGACGAACGTTCTTCGTGTTTGTTGGATGGGGGAGAGCACCCTCGAAGGTGCTTCGGTTTGGGCCAGCTTCTTGGAGGATGTTCTTCTGTCCTTGGTCAGGCTGTGCCTCTCCTGGGCGCGTGTGAGGGCCCTGTTGGGGTCGTCTTGGGCCGTCTTGGGCCCCTCTTGGGACATTGGGTCCCTCCTGACCGGCTTCTGGGCGCTCAGGGTGGCGTCTTGGGCCGCTCGCCGCTGATCGGTGTCGCACCAGGCAGCCGGGAGCGCTCCCATGGCTCGAGCCAGGCGTGGAGGCGCTCGCGGAAGCGCCACCCGCCGCATATGCTGAAGGGGCCCTGGGACACACAGACGTAGGCAGACCGAAGAGCACCGCCGTGGCGCCCGGCTCTGCGGGCGGGGGGAAGGAAAGAGATGGCGGCAGGGACGACGACAGTGACGACGAGCAACTAGTCATCGCCCAAGACGGGGTCAACCGGACTTAAGGGCGGGGGAAAGAAAGGGATGGCGGCAGGGACGACGACAGTGACGACGAGCAACTAGTCATCGCCCAAGACGGGGTCAACCAGATTTGAGGGCGGGGGGGAAGGAGAGGGATGGCGGCAGGGACGACGACAGTGACGACGAGCAACTGGTCATCGCCCAAGACGGGGCCAATAAACGCATCGCCCTCGCCGCCCGAGCAACCAATCGTCACATAGGGAAGCTGGGTAGGATCGGAGCGTGCCCCAAACCGGACCAGATCGGCACGGTTCGGATTGGCCACGACAGGATGTCTGGCCGCACCGGCTCGTCGGGATACCGAAATCAGGTCGGATCGAGCCCGCAGGAGCCGACACCGGATCGGATCGATCGGACCGACACGAGCCCTGCCAAGAGGAGCAGCGGCGTCGGGCGTCCTGTTCAGCGGCCGCGGCGCCCTGAGGCGGAGCTCGCCGACAGGGGGCTGCGCGAAGGGGATGCCCCAGAAGGAGCTGACCTTCTTGCGCCCCCATGTCCCTCGCCGTCTCACCCTCTCTGAGATGGGAGTAAGAGAAGGCGGAGGAGGAGGAGGAGCAGGAGGAGGAGGAGGACGTGGCGGAGGAGGATGAGGAGAGGGCGGAAGAGGAGGAGAAGGAGGAGGAGGAGGGAGCAAAGGAAAATGGGAAGGAGGAGGAGGAGGACGAGGAGGAGGGAGGAGCAGGACGAGGGAGCAGGATTTGAGCTCATTCTGTCTTCGCTTGGCCTCGTTTGGGACCGTAGCCAAGGCTGGGTCTGCCTGTGAATTCTGGTCAGAACGACCCGCCAGGAGAGGTCCCCCCTGATCCGTCGCCCCCTCATTCTTCTTAGACTCCTGAGGGGGACAAGAAGCTAAGGACAGAAGCTCAAACTGCGTGCGCTCGCCCCGTATCTGGCATCCCACCCATCCCACCGATAAATTTCCATTGCGCTGAACTATATTATTTCCGCCGCCCAGGGTATCCTAGATTACCTCGATCCCAAAATAAACCCCTTGTTGCGACGCGCAATCAGAAAGGGGCCTCTGCATACTGGACAGTAAGGAGGATGCGCATTAGCAGGAGAACTAGCAAGAGAAACAGAGGATGATGATGATGGTGAGTGATGATGAAGACGATGACGATGCCGATGACGATGATGATGACGATGATGATGACGACGGCGACGATGATGACGATGATGACGATGATGACCGTGATGTTAATGCTGCTGATGATGATGGTGATGATGACGATGACGAGGATGATGAAACTGATGATGATGCTGACGCTCCTGCTGAGGATGATGATGCTGATGCTGCTACTGATGGTGATGCTGCTACTGAGGTTGATGATGCTGATGCTGATACTGGTGATGATGTCGACGACGATGATGCTGATGATGTGTATGATGATGATGATGATGATGATGATGATGATGATGATGCTGTCGATGATGCTGACGATGACGATTATGATGAACGATGCTGATCGTGACGATGACGATGGCGAGGACGAAGATGATCATGATGCTGATGGTGACGACGAGGATGATGCGGATGACGCTGATGATTAAACGTATGGTGAGGATGCTGGTGAACATGATGATGGTAATGATGATGGTACTAATGATGCTGCTGATGATCATGATAACGATACGGGTGATGATCAGATTGAGGATGGTGATGATGGTTATGCTGGTGAAGATGGTGGTAATGATGGTCATGAGAGCACGAGGCCCAAGCACGGACGGAGGAAAACATAAGAGGGAACGGAAGCAACGTGAATCGGATCGGATCACAAAATGCGGGCCGTGCTGGGGTCGCGAACGCAAGCCTGAACGACGGGAGCTAAGAGCCTATCCTGAAATGCGGCCAGCACTGCAGCGGGAACACCATATTGGAGAACACTATATCAGCATCAACACGTGACAACCCTGTGCGAAAAGACACGATACGCGAGATGGGCTGTGGAAGATAAACACGGCATCAGGGGAGAGGAAATAACATGTTGCGCACGCGAACGCAAAGGGACCATCACAAGATCCCAAAACCTACGAACCCGAGTGCGAGATGCAACTGGTTTGCCATCGCTCAAACGTCCGTTCCCGTTCTCTCCGCAGCATGATCCAGGCAGTTCCGCGATGGTCTTCGCCGAACAAAATGCACACGTCCGAGCGATGCCAAACCGCGGGGAAACCTAAAACGATCCGAATACAACAACTTCTCTAGCGGACGCTAGACAACCGCGTGCAGCGCGCGAAGCGAAGACACCCAACGCACCCTGGCGAAGATCACCCAGCATCTTGATGCACGGCCCCACTTTGATTGTAGAGGAGGGAGGAGGGAGGATTGATTGATTTGGTCTCAGGTACGGAATGCGCGCCTATCCTGATGGGCGAATTGACACGAGCAAACTCGACAGAGTGCAGAGGTCAAAGCAGAATGATGCGAGCTCACGCTGCGATTACGGATGGGCCAGAAAGAACTTCTCCTACAACATTCCACCATGTATTGAAACGAAGCCTGGACGAGGACAAATTCGGATGAAGATAAATCCGCCGATCCGGCGTGTGAGTTTGAAAGAGCGTGAGCCTGAGCTTCGCTTGAGCTCCGCTCTTGAGGCGGGGTGTCATCTTCGACTCCTCCGCCTCCTCTGGGGGGGGGGGGATCAGCGCTTTCGCCCCCCACCGCCTCCGCTCTGCGGGGGGGGGGGTCCGCGCTTTCGCCCCCGCCTCCGCTCTGCAGGGGGGGGGGGTCAGCCAGCGCTTTCGCCCTCCCCTCCGCTGTGCTAGGGTCGGGGGGGGTCATCGCTTTCGCCCCCGCCTCCGCTCTGCAGGAGGGGGGGGGTCAACGCTTTCGCCCCCGCCTCCGCTCTGCGGGGGGGAGGGAGGGATTAGCGCTTTCGCCCCCGCCCCCGCTTCTGCCCGCGCCCGCGCTCGCGACCCCACGCCCCCGCACCCCCGCCCTCGCCCTCACCCCCGCCATCGCCCGCGCCCGCGCCCACGCCTTTGCCTCCGCCTCCGCCCTCGCCTCCGCCTCCGCCCCCGCCTCCGCGCCACAGCTGCCACCGCCATCACGCCCCAACTGCGTCGTCGTCGTCGTCGTCGTCGTCGTCATCGTCGTCGTCGTCCATGTACGCCGGCATCCGGAGCGCCCCGGATCGGCGGCACTGGCCGGAGGCCACTACAGCAGAGGATGTCTGAGATCCGGCGGCTCTAGACGATGTATCGGGCACCACGGCTTCATCAGAGCGTTCACTCTGAGAACGTTCTGGAACGCTCTGGAACGGATGTATCTTTGTGCTGGCCCCGCCCGGTGTATCCCACCCGCCCCATACAATTTCGCGACCGGGAAGAGAAAGAAGGACGAAGGAGGATTTGGACACCCGACAAGGGTACGGAAAAGTGGGTACGAAGCCCAACAACAAATATTGTCCAGAATCAGCAGAGGCCGCTGTTGGGCAGGAGATTTCGTGTCTCAAATGGGCAGCAGCCGCGGCGACGCCGACTGCGAATCCTGTTTAGCATGAACAAGAGATGTTGGATTTTATACCCGAGCATTTTCAAGTTCGGTTTCCCCGAGAGGAGAAAGGGAGCCGTGACCTCCACCCCGGTGGTCTGGGCGCTGCGGTGGGAGAACCCTTGCACCGGCCCATCCGCCGTCTGCACGATGGGGGAAGCCGCGCAGTCCTCCACCAGCCCGCGTTCCTGGGGCGGACGGGGAAACAGGCGAAGCCCCGACAACAAGCTTGAGGACCAAGGGCGCGGGGAGATCATCAATCCATCCGCATATCCATCTTCCCCGTCCGCCTCCTCCTCCTCCTCCTCCTTCTCCTCCTCCTCCTCCTCCTCCTCCTCCTCCTCCTCCCCTTTCCTCCTCACCGCCACTCCTTTCTCCCTCACCCACTTCCCTCCCCCTCCCCGAGCTTCCGCCCTCATCGTCCATCGTCTCATCTCTCCAGAAACCTCCTGAAGCACGCCGAAGTCACCGAAGCTCTTTTCAGCCCTGAAATCTCAGAGAACGCTCCCGAAAATGCCTGGCAGCATCCGAAACCCTCTGGCACCCAGCACCTCCAGGCAGCCCTCCGATGACATGTGAAACTCTCGCACAGAGGTGCGAAAACAGGACGCCTGGCCTGGCCACCGACTTGGAAGCCTCCCAAATGGGGCCAGAGCAAAGGGGGTCGGAGCATCGCGCCGCATCGCGGCGCCATGGCGACGTATCTGCGACGGCGGGATGGACAGTCGGACGTAGGACGGAAGAACATTGGGGTACCTTCACCGGACCGGCCTCGACCTTAATACCTCGGTCCGACTGCAAAAGAAGGGTCAACGGCGTAATCAGAAACTTTCAAAATTCGTCGCGGATCTCCTGGATCGGCGCTGGACCCCCCTCGCTGGCGCGGGGAGCGCGACAGGAGCGCCGCCAGGGACCGTCGAAAGGGTCCAGCGCCCATCCCAGAAATCCGCGCGGCGGAGGTTCGAAACGTTGACGTTTACACAGTTTGCCCTTCTTCGGGCGGAAGAGAATGAGCCCCAGATGGCTCCAGATCGCGCCACATCGCCGATGCAGTGGCGATGCGGCGCGATCCTCCGATCCCCAAAGATGGGCGGCCTGGATGAAGGCCCGGAGTCCGGCCCCAGACGCCACCGCCTAATTTGGGCTGTGCGCTGCATCGCGCTGGTTCTGCCCGCAGATAGGTCGAGGCTCGATGGACAGACCACGTTGACGGACCAGGCCCGGACTCCCCACCTTCCACACCTTCCACACCTTCCGACCAGCAGGTGGCTTCGGCACGGGGCTCCCCTCCCTGGCGCGCGGAGCGCGCCAGGGGCGGCGCCGAAGGCACCGCCAGAAGAGGCCCAGCGAAGACCCAAGAAACCCACGCGGAGCTCCACATGTGTATGCTGTGCAGCTGCTGCTTCTTCGAAGGATGCCCAACCCTTGACTTATGTTGTTCCCATCCTACTTAGGGACCGCATCCCAGAAATAATTTCGAGCACCCAGAAAAGTGTCCAAAGAGTATCGAAACAGCGTCGAAAAAGTTTCGGGCGAGTGCCTCCCAGGGCCCGACAGGTGAAAACCCTTGAGCTTCGGTACTTTTTTGGGCGCTCGAAATCCTTCCTGGCGAACAAAGTTAAAGTAGGTTGGAACATCATAACCCTTGGCCCCATTGAGCAGCAAGGTGGGCCCCCCGCCGTGTGTTCGGGCCGCCACCTGTCACTGAGCCGCGGGCCAACGCAACACCAATATAGCGGATATGCCTGCAGGGGCCCAGGGGCACACAAAGAAATACACATACATCCCAGAACTCCGCACATCTCCCATATGTTCTGGATCCTCGTCTTCGCCCCCCCACTTCCCACATCCTCCCAATTTTTTGTTCCCGGGGGATCGGCGATTACTAGTGTCACTGTGTGCTTTTTCCCCTCCCGAATGCTCCTAGCCCCAGGGAGGGACCGGGATGCCCAACTCTTGACCCACCGAGGAGCAGGCGGGTCGCCGCAACCGCCCGGCGGCCTGGCGCCGGAGGCCTCCGGGCCCGCCGCCGAGGCGCTCGGCTCCACAGGGGGCGTCTGTGCACCACCGCGCAGAGGCCGGGGCCGTCCTGGGCCAAGGATCGATAATCCTCAGAACGTCTGTCGGGGCCAGCAAGGTCTTGGGCAGGGACCGACCGTCCCCGCATTCGCACAGAGCTGCCACGACAGGTTCCAAGAGCACTAGAGTGTGTTCTCATAAGGCAACCAGAACAGATAGAACACAATGGCGATGTATTCAATACGAGACAGTCTCAGCCAGAACAGTTCCAAGAGCACTTCGCGCAGACCATAAAAGGTGATTCGAATATTCTTTGGTAGACCCGTAAGCAGGTCAGGACTCGTCGCCGCTGTCTGAGAGGACGCCAAGAAGTGTTTGTCCACCGAGGCCCCTTCACAGTTGCATCAGCATAGAAGTGCGGCGGTCCGCGAAGGCCGATGCTCATGCAGTTTCCTACTCTTCGACAAGCACTCCGGTTCGACGCAAGCGGCGAAAATGATGAGGGCCAGCACGGGCTGTATGCTCTCGGTGGAACTGAACGGGGTAAACACACATGAGCCCATTGTTTGATCGGCGCCGGCGCCATGGTGACGCGACGAGCCCCCCCTCCCCCCTTCCCCCCCCCCTGGCCTCGCCAGGGGCCCCCCCCCTGGCCTCGCCAGGGGGCGAAACACCGTCTCCATGAGGCAGCGACATCCAGCCCCTGCCTTCGCCAACCACCGATCTCCTGTCGTCGATGGGAGGCAGGGTGAGGGCTCGAGCTTCGCCACGTGCCCGATGCATTCCGAACCCTTGAAGGGGCCCCAGGACACACAAATAAGTACACACAAATAAAAAGATGCCCCACATGTCCCCATTTTTAAGGTTTTTGTCTTCCCGCCCAATTCCAATGTTTTCCCATATTTTCCGGGGAATCGACGATGAATTGTGTCTGTGTGTTTTTCCCCCTCCTGAACCCTACCCCGCCGCCCATCGAGCTGCCCGAATCGCTGCTCGGCGAGGTCATGGCCCGGACTTCGCCGCCGGTCCGCCGGGCCACCCCACGTCCTGAGGATCATCGCACTCGGCGGTGCACAAACCTCCCCGTAGGAAACCTCCCCTTAGTGACAACGGCCTGGGGCCGAAACCGACGGGCCTAGACCCGCACAAAGGACGGCCGCGACGCGCTCTCGCGAACCGAACACGGCCAATGCCTGGATCGACGTGTCGGGGTAGGAGGTCTGTCCACCCCCCGACGCAGGGAGAGGGCTCCGGCCTCTGCCGGGTGGCGGCGCCTCGGGGCGCGGCCTGCGCGAGGCCTCCCCGGGAGTGACCAGGCCCCTCCCATAAAGGGCAGCCCCCGCCCCAGGCGCGACGGACGGGGCACGCGAGGGCACCGCTTCGACGCTGCAGGGCCAACCTGCAGATCTAGGGGAACAAAAAAAGTGACATAAACATAAAAACTTGGAGGTTCGCGCGGATTTCTCGTACCGGCGCTGGACCCCCCCTCCCTGGCGCGCGGAGCGCGCCAGGGGCGGCGCCGGAGGCGTCGCCGGGGGGCCCCAGCGCCGATCCGAGAAATCCGCGCGGGCCTCCGAGCTTTTATGTTTCTGTGACTTTTTGTTACCCTAAGATCGCACTCCACTGTGGGGGCTCGGAGCAGGGCAGCTCAGCATGGGTCCCCTCGTGGACGTCCCCGACAAAAACACCAAAGCAAGCCCCCGAGGCCGAGGTCCAGGGGCCTTCGGTGGAGCTCCCTATGCATGGGGCTACGAAGCGTGTGAGAGGTGTGCCGAGAGCAAAGGCAAGGAGGGGGAGGAGGGAGGAGGGGGAGGAGGGAGGAGGGGGAGGAGGGAGGAGGGAGGAGAGCCGGGGTCCCAACGTGCCCATCTTCAGAGCTGTGTCCAGCCGTGGCGACGAGGGGGCCCCCGCAGGCCACCCACCGCTGCCTCAGCGCGCCCTCCTCCTACGGCCATTCGGCCCGGTGCTGCCGGAGATTGAGCCTCCGGCAGCCCTCCGGGACGAGTCCGGCGCCCCCCGGAGCGCCCTCGGCGAGGCGCAGCTGCTGGAAGGCACCCCGAGGCTGCAAAGCCGCCGAGGATGGAGGACGAGAGGGCCCGATGACCTCGAGCCTCGAGCCCTCCTCTGCTCTGTAGATCGGTCTGCGCCAGGGGCGGCGCTGGAGGCGCCGCCACGGTGGCCCGTCGCCGATCCGAGGAATCCGCGCGAAGCTCCGAGAAGTTCGATGTATCTGTGTTTCATGATCGGCTGCACGCAAAGAGTAACCCTAGGCAAGAGTCACCTTTGGTGCGCGGCTTCAGGGGGCCGGGGGGACACAAACCCACGCAATCCAATCGCACCAACAAATGCTGGCGAGACCCCTGTTTGCCCGCACCAAAGGTCCCTCTGGCGAAAGGTCACTCCCACCCGCCAGTCGGAAGAAGTAGGTGGAAGCATGAAGTAGGAAGGACTACAAAGCAGATTGGGTTCGAACCCGCCCGAAGCATAGCAACACATAGCAAACACTGATCGCCTCTTGAGGTAGGAAGGCGCTTGAAGTAGATTGGGACCTGGGCACCCACGAATACCGACCCTCAACGACTGGCGAGGACGCGCAGATTCGGTGCCGATCGGAGAGGCAAGGGCGAGAGGACACAGGAGACCCGTCGGGGGGGACAATGCCGCGGGAATGCAGAAGACATGGGCCGCAGAACACGGTACACAGAAGCACCCCAGATTGGACGGGGGAACTGAGCAGGAGGAGTAGGGGGAGGAGAGGGAGGAGGAGGAGGAGGAGGAGGAGGAGGAGGAGGAGAAGGAGGAGGATGAGGAGGGGG